AAATAATTTGGTTTGCGTTAAGCTATGAAGTTGATTATTATCAAAAAGCATCAGACGCAATCACACTGTGTTCTACCTCACCCTTTCTCGGAGACCCTCTTTGCGGATCCGGAGGTCATTGAGGTTGGATGACCTCTGGCACCCAGGTCCAGTAGATTGGCCACAGCGCCGACTTCTCCAGTCCAGAGATGTCGCCAGGCACACAGGTTGGATGAAACCGTTTGCGTATAGACTCCTAAAGAGTCGGAACAAAATCAGCTTTGTTCTCCAGGAACCGTTTGCTGTGTCAGCTTTGCAGCAACCTTGACGGCGAGTCAAAGATTGCTTCTGGGTTAAAGAGACTTCACTACAGACGGCCGTTTCCGTAGCTTCCTCTAGAACTCGGTAGAACTCAGAACTGAACATTGACCGCAAACTGACTCACCATAAAGTGAGTTCTGTTTTAATATTCTCATGTTATGGTTTGTTTAACGAATCAGTGCGTGCCATGTTAAGGAAAATTACCAAGAAAACCTCAGAACACACGCCTTCTTGAGATAACGGATGCTCTGATCTGGGGTAAAGGAAATCTGTGTGTCACGCGTTTAACTTAACTTTAATTTGTCCTTTTGTGTGTAAATGGTGATGGCCTTGTCATATCAAACACTACTGATCCATATATAAATCATTGTAATACTTAATTTCACAGATTAATCAAAACATTTCATTTAGTGTTCGTATAACATTTGTTCATCAACCAAATTATTCTTTAAGGATTAATTAACCTATAAGTTTTAAATGTTCACATTATATTCAAGAGTTCATTCTTTGATCAAGCAACCCACACAAGCAGAGAGTCTTCCCACAGAGGCATGAAGAGTCCTGTAGAATGATAAGGGAAGCTTGAGGCCTTGAGGAGGGAACGTGATTGTTGACAATACGTTTATCATGCGTTCAGAGCTGCAGAGAGGCTCTGAACTCCAGCTGTTGGGATGCAGAATCTGACAGATTAAAGGAAACACGTGCAGACTCGTGTCTCCATGTCGACTAGATATTGAAGGGTCAAACTGTACAGTAATCCCTCGCTACTTCGCGGTTCGTTCATCGCGGATTCGCTGCTTCGCGGATTTTTTCTTTGGAGCATTTTTCAGGGGGAATTCGCAGATTTGCGGCATTTTTCACTGATTCGCGGTATTTTTCTATGCAAAATATCAAGAAATTCTTGTTTTTTTTCATCAATTTCATCATACAATGCACTTTTTGTAATAAAACTAAAAAAAACAAGAAAAAAAAATTTTTTTCTTGAGTTTTACCCACAAAAAGAGAATGTGATCATACGATAATTCAATAGGGAGCGTGGTTTCACAGACGCGGAAGTGATAGCATCAGTGAAACGCCGGCTGATCTAGGAAACCCCCGAGCGTTCGAGCGTCAACGAAGTGACACGGAAATGCCGGGCTTTCCAGAAGTAAGTAAGATAACCTACTATGGGCTGATAGTTCGTTGGATGGATCGGTAGGTTGGAAACTCTGATCATGAGGGCGACGGTGGCACAGGAGTTAAGTGCTCGCCCCGTAATCGGAAGGTTGCAGGTTCGAGTCCCGCTCAGTCTGTCGCTGTCGTTGTGTCCTTGGGCAAGACACTTAACCCACGTTGCCTGCTGGTGGTGGTTGGAGGGACCGGTGGCGCCAGTGCTCGGCAGCCTCACCTCTGTCAGTGCGCCCCAGGGCAGCTGTGGCTACATCGTAGCTCATCCTCACCAGGGTGTGAATGTGTGTGTGAATGGGTGAATGACTGATTGTGTTGTAAAGTGCCTTGGGGGGTTCCAGGACTCTAGAAGGCGCTATATCAAATACAGGCCATTTACCATTTTACCATGAATCTGAAGAAACGATGACTGAGTGGTGAGCTGGAAAGGCGACTTCCGTTTATAGCCGCGGTTTGTGACGTAGGTGCGACGTGGAGGGAATCCCCGCGAGGGGCATGCTGGGAGTCCCTACTTCGCGGATTTTCACCTATCGCGGCCAGGTCTGGAACGCATCTACCGCGATAAACGAGGGATTACTGTACATAACACTGACCATTACTGGACATTACATACCGAGTGAATCGACTGAAAGGTAATGTTAGGTTATACATACAACTAGGGCTGAAACGATTCCTCGAGTACCTCGAATAATTCGAGTACAAAAAATCCTCGAGTCAAATTCTCTGCCTCGAGGATTCGTTTAATTCATATTTAATTAATTCGTGGCTTTGCAGTCGCCCGTGGTCATGTTTCACCCGGACTGAAATAAGTGACGCACATGCCCACTGGACTGCGCACGCGAGTAGCGAATGTAACTTAACTTTCTCTTAAGCCATGGCGGACAACGTGGACCCCGGTGGAGTGCGAAAAAGACAGAAAATGTCAAGATGTGGGACCATTTTTCACGTTGTTAGGCGGAAAACGTACTCCAGTGTAAATACTGTAAAATGGATTTAGCCTAGCACAACACCACATCCTCCATGCTGCTGCAGCGCCTGTAAATGTCACTTCTGCAAGCGGACTCGGAGCCTCTACAAGATAATGCATTTTAGCCTGTATTTCCATATATTCTGCGGACACTGTGCGACTTTTTCGTTTGTAGCACATAGTTTCAGCTCACACCGTACGTCTGGTAGCAACACGTCGGACTTAAAATGTGCTAAAAAAATAGCATTTTTACACAAAACGTCGGACTTTTTATTGTGTTATTGATGTTTGTTGTCCCTCGGGATTGCTGCAGGATTACTGGTATTTATGAGAGGAAAACGAAAGAAAGTAAATAAATGTTTTGTGATCAGTATAATTTGACAAAACCACAGCAAACATGCTTTCTCGACAATCCTTGTTATTGTGTGAGTAAAAACGTGTTGAAATTAAAACGGACGTGTGTTAATAGGGAAACAGCCGGCGAGCTGTTTGCGCATGCACCGTGAGCGGTTCTAGTTCTGTTTGGGCCGCAGCCGCCCGCAGCGCTACTTCAACAGTTATCCTCTGGCTTGCAGGCTAGCAGATTCTCGCACGAGGGGAAAATCGGCTCAGGTTGTTTACTTATTTTTTGCACAGCCATTTGTTTACTGTGAAGTAAAGTTGAAGTGCTGAAGTTTTGAAAACTAATTTTGAATAAAACTTGAAGAATAACTGGCAATTGCTTGCTCATTTTAACAGGTCTTTCATAATTATAACATGCTATTTGATATAATGGTTTACAAATACAAAAGGGTAATTTATTAGAGTACTCGATTAATCGAAAAAAATATTCGATAGAGTACTCGATTACAAAAATATTCGATAGCTGCAGCCCTACATACAACCACTGTTCTCTGAACAGTGGTCCACCGAGGATGCTGTCACCATAGCGCTCCACACTGCACTGAGTCACCTGGAGCACAGAGGAAGCTATGTGAGAATGCTCTTCCTGGACTTCAGCTCAGCATTCAATCACATAATCCCTGAGGTCTTGGTCCAGAAAATGTCTCACCTGGGACTCTCCACCCCCATCTGCCTCTGGATTAAGGACTTTCTGACAAATAGATCACAATCTGTCAGACTCGGGCCACACCAATCCAGCACCATCACACTCAGCACCGGGGCTCCACAAGGATGTGTTTTAAGTCCACTCCTGTTTACAATCTACACATCCGACTGCTCCCCTTTCGATTTCTCGAACACCATTACATAGTGTGCGGATGATACCACCGTGGTCGGACTCATCTCGAAGGAGGACGAGACGGACTACAGAGATGAGGTCAACAGACTGACGGAGTGGTGTTCAGTAAATAACCTCCAACTGAACACCACGAAAACTAAAGAAATTATCTTCGACTTCAGGAAGGGCAGAGCAGACCCAGCCCCACTGTACATTCATGGGAACTGTGTGGAGAGGGTGCACTCCATGAGGTTTCTGGGCGTGCAGATCTCTGAGGATCTCTCCTGGACAGCAAATACCACGGCAGTGGTAAAAAAGGCCCAGCAGCGTCTCCACTTTCTGAGAGTGCTCAGGAGGAACAACCTGGAGGAGAGGCTGCTGGTTACTTTTTACAGAGCCACCATAGAAAGTATCATAACGTACTGCATAACAGCATGGTACGCAGGGTGCTCAGCTGCAGACAGGAAAATACTGCAGAGGGTCATCAACACAGCCCAGAAGATCACTGGCTGCTCTCTGTCCAGCCTGGAGGTCATTGCAAACTCTCGGTACCTCAGCAGAGCGAGCAATATCATCAAGGACCAATCTCACCCTTCAATCACGTCTTTCAACTATTACCATCATGTCGACGGTACAGGTCACATAAAACAAGGTGAAACAGATTCAGGGATAGCTTCTTTACCAGGGCGATCTCTATTGTAAATAAGCATAAAAACAATTAAAACTGCTTAGCGACTGTCAAGGTCACCGTCAACTATTATGCTGCTATTCTAATGCCATTTTTTTACATGATATGGTAGCTGCTGTTCTGTATATAGTGTGCTAGTCGGCATATATTACTTTCTATTATTTTGTCACTTACTAGTGTTTTGTTACTTACTATTGTTTTGTTATAGGGGACCTTTATATTTAGAGGTATTATTGTATTGTGCATCAAGGGAGTGGCACTCCAATTTCGTTCTATCCTGTACAATGACAATAAAGGCTATTATTATTATTATTATTATTATTATTATTATTATGAAGGAGAGGAACGAGGCACAACCAGGGCTGCCCCATTTCACAGCCCAGCTCGGTGAAGAGCAGCTATCGAACTGAGGAATGACAGTGATGTGGTCGCTTATAAGTGGAGAGCGGGGCCTCCACGCAGCGTCACTTTCATTTGCCTTACAGGCATGATTAAATGTGTCTTCAGCCAGGCCACACTAGGGCGTGATGTCCCATAGTACCTTCGTTGTACCTCGTTCCTGTCCTTCAGGGAACAGTGGTTGTATGTATAACCTAACGTTCTGAAGACTAAAAGGACTGAGTTTGTTTTTAGAGTAAATGTTTTTTCTGTTTCCTCAGAGGGGCATTTTCAGAGGTGGTCCTAGCCCAGGAGAAGCTGACCAGCCGGATGTTTGCAGTGAAATGTATCCCTAAGAAGGCTTTGAAGGGGAAGGAGAGCAGCATTGAGAACGAGATCGCTGTGCTGAGGAAGTGAGTGCAGTCACACAAACACACACAAACCTACTAATTCCTGGTTACCGAGGCAACTGAGTTTTCCCCTCTATTTTTCTAACCAAAATTCCCCCCTTCATCAGCCCCCGCCCCCAGGTCACGATCAACAGCCCACCTCCCATTCTCACAGTACACAGAAATACACAAACATCTGGAATGGAGGAAATCTATTGGTAAAAGTATTCTAGACGTGAATTTTCAGACATCTGATCAGAACTGGACGTGATTCATGTTCGTCTGACAGAATTCAACAGGTTATTTTGTGTGTTTTTAGCTGTAAAAGAACAACAGCTCAGCGTCCAGTCATAGCTGCATTTCCCACAGTCCAGCTGTGAGGCTATTGGCAGATTTAAACAATATGTTCGTTTTGGAGGGAGCCACCTGCTGTCGTGTCACGCTGGCACATTCTGGAGGCACGATAATGACCGTAGATGTCTATGTTTAGCAGCAGAATGAGCCATCCGCTGAACAAATGAATGTGATGAGATTTCAGCCTCTGAGGATGGAGCTGCATCAGTTGCGTCGATGCAAAAATACACATCGGACCAGTGGCGGATTTAGCAATTTGGGGGCCCAAGGCAAACACAGACATGAGGCCTCCTTACACTAAATTTTTGACAATCTTACCTTTCACTGGATTTGCGAAACTCCCCTCTTCTGACACGAGTTATTTTCACTTTTTATTAGTCCTCTTTTTTCTTGTCTTTCTCTCCCTTTGAGTGCCTTCAATATTTGCTCTGCTTTCTTCTTCCTGTCAGTGCTCCTGTGCTTTTGCCTTTCTTTTTTTTTCTTCTATTTTACATTTCTGTCTGTGTTTTCCTCGCTTTAAACATTTTCCATTGTCTTCCCTTTTCTGCTTCCTTTTAATGTTTACATAGAAAAACGACGTAACTTTTGGAAGTGAAGATAAAAGCTTTTTTAAAGCAAGCTGCTTCTTTCTCTTGTTGGAGCCACTAGGATAACTCAATTTCATGCTTAATGTTTTGCAGTGGCGGCTCCTGAGAAAAATCTCAGAGGGGGTTATACATGACGACAAAGTCTACCTTTTTTACCCCCAAAGTCTACCTGTTAAACTAAATTTTAATTTCCTCATATGGCTCTACAAACCTATTATCTAAGTCAGCCTATAGTTTTTCTAAGCAATGTGATTATTTTGGCCCTTCAGCAAGTGAATACTCAAATATTACAGTAAAGTAAGTAAATCAGAAATTATTACCTTAAAGGGGCATTATGGAAGTTTGACAGCCAAAACATGTTTAGAAATAATAAATTTCTTCTTCATACATTCTCCTGCAATGCCCTGGTCCTGTAGAATGAGCCCTGGCATTTTTACTATGATTGCCTGTTTTTCTGTAAAATCACAGAAAAAGAGAGCTGCTCAGGTCGAGCAGGCTGCTTCATGCACCTTCACGCTCAGGCATAGCTCGTAGCATTTGCTATCAGTAGCTTTAGCAGCAGAGAGTGAGTTTTACTCAGCGACTTTGTCGCTGTTCCTAACGCCTAGTGATGAACCTAGCTACATTTCTGAGGACCCTTAGCTACTTTCTTCTATATATTTCCTGCAAATTAGCAACAAAATAGCCATTTTCGCTCTGAACCGTTCTTTGATTGTTGTTTCAGCTGTCATCAAGGATGTAAAAATTACAGATACAAAAGACGTCACTGGTCCTATAGCTCACCTAGTAAGACGGACTCTCGTGCAGAAGTCCTGGGTTCGATTCTGGACGTGAACATAGTTTATTTAGAGTTTCTTTTTTACATTAATGGTATATGTTTTTTACAGTAAGATGCCCAAATTTTTATTTGAGACTTGCCGAACTGCATTGAATTCACAGATAAAAAAGATGTGGGTTCAACTTTCATTTTGGAACAATTTTTCAAGCAAGGGAAGGGAATGATCTGAGCATGCAGGAGGACTGACCCATCTTAAACCTTTGTCGGCTGTGCTGAAGAGAAAGGTACAGAACCAAATTATTTAATTAATTAGCTGCGTGTTCTTCTGTCCTCTGTCCGCCGGGCCACACACACACACACACACACACACACACACACACACACACACACACACACACACACGAGACTGTTTCAACTGTTATTTTCGTTCAATTCAATTCAAGTTTATTTATATAGCGCCAAATCACGAAAAGAGTCGTCTCAAGGCACTTCACATAATAAACATTCCAATTCACAGTTCATTAAGCCAATCAGAAATAATGTTTCCTATATAAGGAACCCAGCAAATTGCATCAAGTCACTGACTAGTGTCAGTGACTATACAGCAATCCTCATACTAAGCAAGCATGCAGCGACAGTGGAGAGGAAAACTCCCTTTTAACAGGAAGAAACCTCCAGAGAATCCTGGCTCAGTATAAGCAGCCATCCTCCACGACTCACTGGGGATCGAGAAGACAGAGCAGGCACACACACACACACACACACACACACACACACACACACACACACACACACACACACACACACACACACACACACACACACACACACACACACACACACACAAAGACAAGTAATGTGTCTAGTTATATTGTGATGTCTTAGTAAATATTGTATTTGGTGAAAGATAAACTTTATTGTATTTATCCTAGTGGATCTATAATTAAATGGATTAACTAGTAGTACATCAAAAGTCAATGAAAGCAAAAGTTATTATCAGGAGAGAGAGAATGTATTAGTGGTTAGCAGCAGTGTGCTAGTCGATGGCCCCCTCCATGAGGCCACCACAGCTCAGCAGAACGTTATTGTAGCTTCTTCTGGGGAGAAAAACACTTACAGAGAAAATAAAGTTAACAGCTGAAATTGCACAAAATAGTACAGTTAAAGAGCAGACTGTAGAATAAAGCAGTAGAGTGTGAAAAGTGGTCAGTGTATCCTTCAGCAGTCTAAGCCTATAGCAGCAACTACAGAGATAACTCTGGATAATCTATCCTATTTAGATGTAGGCATGTTGGAGGCAGGGCAAGGGAGAGCCGTCTTTACCGACTGTACACTCCACCTCCCTCTACTCCCCCACTTGTCCAGATTTAGGCTAACATCAGATTTTAACCATAGGCCCTATCAAATAAAAATGTTTTAAGCCTAGTCTTAAAAGTAGACAAGGTGTCTGCCTCACGAACTAAAGCTGGGAGCTGGTTCCACAGGAGAGGAGCCTGCGCGCCTCGTGCACGAGCCTACTATTGAAGCTGCCGTTACGCTTTTGGCCTGAGGGGGCAATCGCGAGCATAAAAATTCAAAACGCCGTAAAGTCCCTTTAAGTGTAAAACAGCAACCAAATTCAAGGTAAAAAAAATTGATTAATGATGTGATGCAATAGTCATATTTAGATCAAATGTGAAAACTAATATACAATTTATCATGAATACAGGCCTGTAAGTATAAAATGTATGATCAACGAACAAGTTGAACACAACAGAATAGAGAAAGTATATTTAAAAAACAATCAGCTGATTTCAGCTATCTGTACATTTTTGTAAAAGAAAATAGGCTTCTGTGAATTGTTTCATCAATCTATTAAGTTTTCACAATCTGGTTTGTTGCATTTTGAGTAAAAGAAATAAAAGTTTCACAGCGAGTAGTTTATGCCATATGGAACCTGTTCATTTGTAATCAAACTTTGCTCGTCTGTCTTTCAAAGCAGCAAAGTGATCTATGACCTTCTCATTGAAGTCAGGCATGGACCAGACAAGCTCCCTCTCTATGGACAGCATGGCCAGCGCATTAAGGCGTTCCTGGCCCATTGAATTTCTCAGAAATGTCTTAATTCTTTTGAGAGTTGAGAAGCACCTCTCAGCCTCAGCTGTCGTCATTGGGGTTGTGATGAGGATGCTCATCAAAGCGATAGTCTCAGAAAACGTGTCCTGGAGGTTGTATCTCATGAGAAGCTGATACAACGCCAGCGCACCGCAGCAGCTCCTGAACTCAGGGTTCTCATAGACCAGAGATAGTTCTGTCTTCAGTTTGTTCTTGTTTGAGCATGGGGTATGCCTCCACTGTGGCATTCAGAACACCCGTGGGAAATGTGTGGCAGTGCTGCTCAAACATTTCTGCTTGTAGCAGTGTGGCACTGACCAGGTGGTTGGTGAAGGAGAACCTCTCTCTGGTGTGAGTCAGGATGGTGTCGCAGATCTTCTCCCACAGCCTCTGCTTCTCGTCCTCTCCCAAGGCCTTCTCCTTCTAGTGGTGGTTTCTGTGGCCTCCTGCTGCTGCTGTTGAGATGACTGCCTGAGGAAAGACCAATAATGCCTGTTAGTAAATCCAAATGTCAGAGCAAACAAAAAATTAGACAGAAGAACATGACAACACTAAGAAGTTTTATGCATCAAAAATAAAATTTCTCTGACTTGAGTGTGAAACAGCGACATGGAAAGTTAGCTTATAATAACTTTGAAGTGTTTTGTAAATGTCACATGGCTGTCTGATATGACAATCAAGTGACAGGTAAAATGCAGATTATTTTGTGCTTTGGTTATAATTCTGGTTAGTTTAAAGGGCTACTCCACCCCTAAGTAAAATTTTACCACCTCTCAAAAGTAGAAAGCTCAGTTTGTAAACAACTAGGGGTGCACCTGTCTATCGGCTAAAGGTCAGGTACAAAGGTCAGTCTGTGGTTTCCATTCACTTGCCTCACATTGTAAAAGGGAACTGGTGATCCAACTTCAATTAATTACGTTAATAGGTTACAAGAAATATAATTGACTTTGTCCAAGTGAAATTATTAATAGAACAAATTCATAGTATTTATTTAGGTTTGATCACTTACTACCTTTTTTGTGGTCCACACACACCACACCTTAATTTTAAACAATACGCATGTCAAATAACAAATAATAATAATAATTTTACCTTATTGCCTCAACACTGCTCATGAAGATCTGGACGGCGTGCTTGATAAAGACTGCATCGATGTCCTCCTTCTGCAGTTTCTTGTACAGGATGTCCACGTGAGGCCTAATTTTACTAAACAGCAGCAAAAAAAAAAAAAAACTGGAAATCCTCGTCCTGCATCATCCTGAGAAACTCACATGCCTCTCTCATTGTGTTGCCATCAAAGAACCAGATGAGTTGGAGGGCACTAGTGAGATGGGTGAAGAGTAGACACGTTTTTTTGCAGCTCCTCGCGGCACAACTATTATCTTACTTAAATTGCCTTTTTGAACTACTAACGCTCTTTTATCACGAAAGAAGTGATCCTGTGTCACTTTCTACTTACACCGTTACTGAGAACCAGGAAGAAAACGTCCAGGAGCACACGTGGGGCCAAAAGAGCGGCCATGGCTAACGTTAGCTGCAGCAGCCCTAGAAAAAAGGGTTCGGCTTTGCTGGTGGACCATGGTTCGGAGGAAGAAGACGAGTTCCCTCTGATGTGGCAAAAGATGTCAAACAAGCTTCTGCAGTCCATCAATGAGAGGTGTGTGTTGACACATCGGTGGTCTCATCAGCTTGGATGGCAACAAATCTAGCTGCCACAACGTCCTCACTAATGCGCTTCCTAACGACCGCCAGCATGCTGTCCAGCAGCTCTTTCTGAGCAGTTTTTGACGTGCCCTTGAAAACGGTCACTACTTTCAGGTGCTCCTCAAACACCTCATCCAATGATGCCAAGTCCACTAATCCCCGAAAAATGCCTGCATTCTTTAAGCCTTCGCTTTCATCTTTTCCCCGCAAGGCTTATTCGAACATGCCACAAAATCTGACGCAGTCTATGAGGCGATTAAGGAGATGTTGGTTCCTGCTCACCTCTTTGTTATGGCAGCGGACTGCCAGGTGGTAGCTGCTGTCTAGCTCTTCGGCGATATTAACTCATCCGAACGTAGAAAACTTTATCTCTTCACCTTCCCAGCCAGATGGTGCATGTCGGTGACTCCTGTGGTCATCACAAGCTGTGGGCCGCCGTGGCGCAATCTGGGTTGAACTTGCAGGCATGGGAAGCAGAACAGCGACCCTGTTGTCTCAGCCCGCGAGCCAGCTCGTCTGGTCATACCACCTTCTCGGAAATCCTCGATTGTGGGATTTCCCGCCTTTAACTGCTGCTTGTATGATGTTGAGATTTGGTCTTGGTGGTCCTAACAGTTTTGTTGCCATTTTATCCGTGTTGGTACAACGAATAAATGGAAACTCTTTCAAAGAGACAACAGTGTTGCTCTGGTAGCTCGCCATGATGGAAATGGTTTGCCGCTCTGTGCGTGCCCTTAACGCTACCTGTAATTACCCAGTTACCTGGGTGTAACTCGTGAAGTAGGCATATAGGGAGACGTCCCGCCAGCCCCTAGAAGCTGCGTTGTTGCTCCGGGAAGTCGGGGGAAAGCATTTACATTATCGCCCCATAAGGGTGGAACTCCCAGCAGGGAGGACTCAAACTGGTTGGACAACACAGACAAGCAAACCACAATGGTGGACCTGAACAGCAATGATGAGAAGCACATGAAAAAAAACAACCTCCTTTTTTCTTGGGAGGGCGTCACCCCAATCGCCCCTATGGACCAGCCGCCCCTGATGTTTTGACTACCGCTTCAAGTTTGTTACCAACGCTCCCGCCTCTCATCTTCTTTTTCTGCTTTCTCTTATTATTATTATTTGTGGTCTTATGGCACTTGGCAAACAACAATTTGGTGCATTACTGCCACCAACTGGATTGGGGTAGAATGACTACCAATCACTTCCTGTTTGTGCATCGGCATCTTAAAGGAATAGTCCATTGTGGCATTAACAGAAGGGTGCCAGCACTCAGGGCTAGGGGGCCCCCCAACATATGAGGGCCCCAGGCGGCCGCCGACCTATGCCTAATGGTAAAACCGCTACTGCATCAGACGTGCAAATGCCTGTACGTTGATGTGTAAAACTATACCAACTGTCTGGTGTTTGGCACAAATCATACGTTACCTGCATGTGTCGGCCTTTTGTGTGTATTTTGTCTTTTTGAGATACTGTGAGACACACCCTTAAGGATGGCAGCTCATTCTTGTGTGCGTGTGTTTGTGTGTAGATTAGTATTAAATTGATTTATTGCACACTTTTACTCAGAATTACTTGAAAACCAAGATGGATGTAAAGAGGACTTCAGAGTTTATTGCACTAAACAACATTTCTGCACAGATGGATATTAATATCTAGTGAGAGACTAACTGCAACAAAACTTTATTCTAAACAGATGAAGAAAATAAATCTTTCTGTAAATCTGTTTGTGATGTCATAAGGATGCTTATCAGTCATAAAATTGTTATATCTGCACATACAAATGAGATTTTGGGAATTTGTTTTTAATAGACTCCTAAAGCAAAACCTTGTTCATGTGTTTGTTGGGATTAGCTACACCGCTCATACTTACACACTTTAGGATAGATTTTAGGCCATGTCGCCCATTCCTAGTACATTCTGTGGTGCAGCATCATCTGATGTTTTCCCAGATCTAACTCCAAGCATCAGAGCTCCTGTAAATAAAAGGCAACCAGAGATTTTAATCAGTCTAACCCTAAAAACCACACGATTACATAAATATATCTAAGTGGTCCACTTATGAAGACAATGGAGAAGTATGATGCAATTAAATAGAATGAGTTTGCTAATTTGGCTCTACTGTGCAACATTAGAGAAAATGAGAATTGCCACCAGTAATAAGGGAGAGATGCTGACATTCATTTCGATAAATGGGAGTCATTACTGCAAACAATTGAGAACCTCGCTGTCGGTCTCTACTGTCCTGCGCTGAAAGAGACTCCAAGCTGGATTTTTGGAGCAAAATCAGCTGGATCACTTTGGTGCAAAATGGCAAGATGTTGCTTTTATTTGAGAATTCAAACCTCTTCCAGTATCTCTGTGGCAGCAGATGTTGGACAGATGTGTGAATTTGATCAGATTCTGTCTAATTTTGACAGTTTAACTCAGTTTTATCAAAACAACTAGGGCAGTCTAATGTTCAGTTCACATTTGCTTTCTAAATACAGTTTTATGCCAAAGTAATGTTTAAAATTCCTATTTGACAGAAGCAGATGTTTAAAATGTCACAGAAACCACCAAACATTCAGATTTAGACACTAGACAGTCATCAAGCTGCTCCTCTAAAAACAACTGCAGACCCTTTGCTAAAAAAAAAGGTAAAAAACTTTTTTACATGCTCCAAACACAACTAAAACTACAATTAAATGAGTCACAAAAAGTCTCTTTTCATACAGCACCACTGTGTAGAAAGTGTGCAGTAAGTGAGAGATTCAAGGAATTGGTTTCATTGGCAAAGTGAAAAGGTATATAAAAGTCAGGCAATATGTAGATTAGGATACATCTGAAATAATCATCATAGGGAACAAGAAAAACAATCATAAGTATAGGAATATAGGTGACTGATGTAGCTCTATGTGGTTGAAATGGTTATCAGTTGTTCAGGCGTCTTACAGCAGAGGGGAAGAAGCTGTTTTTGTGGTATGAGGTTCTAGTTCGTAAGGACCTGATCCTCCTCCCTGAGGGTAGAGTATTGATGATCATGAGGCCTGCATCCAATTTGAATCCTCCTTTGTCTCTGAGCTCTCGCTTCCTGATTTTGACTCTTCTTTGACCCCTCTTTCAGTTGGACATTCTTTTTCTCTTTGCTTCATCACATAAAGGTCTTTGTATTTTCGGAGGCTCTGCCATGATGAACACAACACAACACAATAAATGCTAACCATCTCTAGCTCTTCTCTTCTGAGGTATACATGGATTGCCATAAAGCTTTATTGCTTCTTGCAAGATGGGTGATTTTGGAAGACTTTAGACAAGACAGCTTTATTTATATAGCACATTTCATACGCAGAGGAAACTTGATGTGCTTTACAGCAGCAAGAACAGACAAAGGAACAATGGAATCTCATATAAGACAATGAAGACTAAAACTAGAAAACTAACAGTATTGAGTAGAAAACTAAAAGTGGCTGGTAACTTTGAGTAAAGCTAGCCAGGAATTACTAAGTGTGTGAAAGTCAGTAACGATATATATCGATCAATAGACATGTGGTTCAATGGGGGCATCAACAAAAACTTTAATAAAACTTTCCTCTTTCCATTATAGCCTATTGGGTAGCTTCATACAGTCATTACTTACACGCAACCAATCAAAAACACAGTCAGTGGCAATGCTTTCATTCTTACAAATCTGGAAAAACAAACAGTGGTTTGCAACAGAGAATCGATAACAAAACAAGTCTGGTAATGCAACCAACTTGTTTTATCATAAAGTAAATGGCCAGGGCTGCACTCAAAAATTATTTTCGATATTTCAGTTTTTTCAATAATTATCGATCGCGATTAATATAATTTTTTTTTTTTAGCTAAGCTTTTTTTCCTATATCGTCCAGCCCTATGTGAGGGTGACCAAAACAAACAGTACTATGGTAAATGGCTTGTTTTTGTATAGCTCCTTCTTAGGGTTCTACAACACCCACACACACATTCACACTCGGGTGGGGATGAGCTATGATGTAGCCACAGCTGCCCTGTGTCGCACTGACAGAGGCGAAGCCTGCCAAACATTGGCGCCACTGTTCCCTCCGACCATCACCAGCAGGAAAGGTGGGTTCAGTGTCTTGACCAAGGACACAACAGCAGCATTCTCTGGTCGTAGCCTGGATTGAACCTGCAACCTTCCGATTGACAACCCGCTCAACCTCCTGAGCTACTGCTGTCCCTACTGCTTTACTAAAGCTAGAAACTAACAGAATTTCAATAAGGTATTGAGTCAAAAACTAAAAGTGGCTGGTGAATAATGGTGGTACCATGAGTATGTAAGAAAGCTAACCAGGAATGACTAAGTGAAAACATTGATTAAACTAAAAGTAGGGCTAGGCAATTAATCAAAAACTTAGCTTTATCAAAATTTCTGACCAACTGATAAAATCCTTCCTATGTCAATGAATTTGGTATTAAAAAATGAAAAGATATATGTAGGTTGGTGACATCCATGTCCCTTTAAGAAGCTGTACCACCTTGAGTCACATGACAACATGACTCAACTTGATACGCGTTACATTCCCATCTAGTGGACAAACTTTTTTATTGTACATACACTATTCTGTCCATACACAAACGTGCGGCTGACAATGCTAGACAAATAGCGAATAGTGAGCCACTTCAGGGACGCACCTGAAAATGTCCGCATTGTGGATGGTTTAAATCACTCCCACACAAAGATGGCATTAGGTGATGTGCAAACTATGTGAGGTGATCTGTACGTTACACAGAAATACAACTCAGCAGAAACATGGTGATGTTGCTGGACATTAGCTTTTGTCAGACTCTGAACCAGGAAATGGCTGCAGGCAGTAAAGCAGAAGACAGAAAACTCTGGAGCAACCAGTGACTCTGCCCCAAAGCCAATCGGAGGCCACAAACGCAATGCTGGCCTGACTAAGCCTCACCAGAAAAAGTAGAAAGAAAATACCAAACCGTGCTATTGGAAAAGGTGGTCGGGCTGAGTTGCACTAATCCAAGTTACTCTGGATAGTGTCCTTTTAAAACTAGCTACAGAGGCTACAGGATTTAATAAAACCTTATCGTAAATAAGGTGCATTATATGAAATAATCATGTGCAATTTCAAGAAAATAAATATGATGGCTACATTAAGAAGTCTTAACTTTTTTTGTAAAGATATTTATGAATTGATTTATTACAAGAGAAATGCAGAAGCTGAAGATCCTTGTGCCACAAGACTCATGCTGTAAAAAAATCATGAATGAGAACAACAAACTGTAGCATCAAGCCTGAAAGGGAAGAGGTGCTTTTTGTGAATGCACTTTGACTCTGCACTTCCATTACACCCAGACTGTTGTCTGCCAGCCCTTCATTATCCCAGGCAGGGCTTAAATACACACATTATCCCTTTTAAACCTGCGCTCGCGTGCGTGTGTGTGTGTGTGTGTGTGTGTGTGTGTGTGTGTGTGTGTGTGTGTGAGTGAGAGTTTTGTCATAGCTTTTGTGGTTCATAGCTCACCTGCTGTCATAGAGATCATATGCGCTGTAATAAGTGTTAGATGCTCAGCTGGGCTCCTGCACACACACACACACACACACACACACACACACGCACACACACACACTTTAAACATCATGGCGCTTGAACCATGGAGAGAGTTAGAGGAGAAGCTGGAGAAATGAGCAGAAGGTGTGATGGGAGGAAAGACGCATGCTTTTGGTTAAATTACTAAGGGATAAAATTATTGGTTTATGCTGACAAAGAAGGGGAAGGATGAATTTAGAAATGAGTCATTTTCAGAGAATGACTGTTAACTTGTAACTGCAGTTTTTCTAAAGGGACAGTCTTTCCTTTAATCTGTTGAGGGAAGCTTCTCAGAAAACAGTTTAGCAGGAAAAGCAACAATCGCCTCATGTAGTAAATACCTTGAGCCTGTCAGACCTCTCAGGAGGTAATCTGTAACCCTTTAGTGTCCACATCAAATACAAAAGCGATGAAAAGGGAATTGCTTTTCTCTTCCATTTTTCTATCCATCTATGTACCAGTAAGGGTTATAATTAAATGTAATGTGTTTATCATAAAAGTTTGTATTGATTGAAACATTCCCATATTTAGATTTTTTTATGCCCACCCCTCAGTTAGATTTAGGACTAAAATGTGCTGCACCGGCTGGTTGACCCGCCACATTCATCAACAAAAATGGCTAGAATTCTTTAAACTAGCAAAATAATCAAAATTTTGATTGCTTACCAATTTTAAGAATTCTAGCAGAGCAATTTTGTTTGCCCCTTTGGCAGAATTTTTACTCAATACAAGAAAAAGTTATCTTATTTAAGAATGTTTACCTTATTTTAAGTAATGCAATAGGGCTGGGCGATATGGCCTAAAATCAATATCACGATATGCTGAGGATTTCGCCTCTAATGATAAATGGATGATAAATACAGGCATGCACAGAAACAAAAGTTGCCCACTAGATGGGGCTGTCACGTGTATTACATTGAGTCACGTTTTTACGTGACTCAAGGTGGTAAAGCTTCTTAAAGGGACATGAATGTTGCCAACTTAAACACATCTTTTCATTTTTTTATTATCAAATTTATTGACATGGGAAAAATTCTTGATAAGTCACAAATTTCGATAACGATACATTTTTGATTTATCACCCAGCCTTATAATGCAATATTTCTAGAGAAAATTTTATTTTCTTTTTAGGCTAAAAATAAGATGGAATGTCTAAAAATCAAGCATTATTTTATACATAGAAATTATTTTTATAGCATATGTTTGAACATTCAGTTTTAGAGCCTCTGATGTAAAAAAAGTTGTCTCAATGAGCAGCTGGAGCTGCCAGGGGCCTCTACACCCCAAAGCACTCACAGGCAGCCCAGGCCGAGAGAGCAACCAGCACAGTCAGTACTGCTTCAGATTCAGACGCACGTCAATGGACATGGGTCCCATGTTATCAGCCGTGTTTCCGTTGGCGGAACTTCAGGGTAAATTCTAGAACAAAAAAATTGACCAGTAGATACGATGTCCCAGTCCTCTCAGCTGTTGTCTTCGTTCAAATTCAGCTCTTTCAGGACTTTGCAGAGATGAAGCAGCCTACAGGGAGGAGGTTGAGAGGTTGGCAGCCTGGGGCTCAGAACAACCTGGCCCTGAACACAGAGAAAACTAAGGAGATCATTATGGACTTCAGGAGGAACAGCTTGGACCTTGCCCCCCTTTACATCAATGGCGAGTGTGTGGGGAAGGTCCACACCTTCTGGTTCCTTGGTGTTCATATCACTGATGTCTCCTGGACTGAAAACCTTGCAAGGGTCTTTAAGAAGGCTCAGCAGTAGCTACACTTCCTGAGGGTCCTCAGGAAACATAATCTGGACCCTAACCTTCTGCTGACCTTCTACCGCTCATCCATCAAGAGCCTGTTGACATACTGTATCACAGTATAGTACGGCAACTGCACCATGGCAGACAGGGAGAGAATTCAGAGAGTAGTAACAGCAGCTCAGAAGATCATTGGCCGCCTTCTCCTCTCCTCTGCTCTCCCTGGCAGACATCTACTCCTCCTGTTGTCTCAACCGAGCAAAAAACAAGAACAATTCCCACCCTGGTCATGACCTGTTGAAGATGCTGCCCTCAGGAAGGCGCTGCAGGTGCATCAGCACCAAAACAAATGAATTAAAGAACAGTTTCTTTCCCAAAGCCATCACCACTCGGAACTCTCATAAGCACTGACTCAGTTAAAAAAGGGCAATACCAGCCCTCTTCCATACATTCACTGTGATATTTACTGTCTGTCAACATTGCAAAACAACTGTACACCATGTTCTATAACTAGCCCTAATACCACCTAACTTACCAAATATGTTAATCACCACTGTGCAATACTGATCATGTGTAAGAACTCTGAGTGTGAAATTTATCATGTGCAATAACCCTAACTGGGATTCAGATTTTTGTAAATAATATTTCAAATTATTCTCTCTTCACATAATTTTTGCATTCAGACCCAAGAACCGTGCATCCCCCCTCCCCCCCCCCTGCTCTGTTCTTTCTACATTTTTTTAATTTTAATGTTGTTTCTCTTTTCAACATATTTGATCTCTCTTGCTTGTTTTTGCACTGCAGAAGGTGTTGCGTGTTGCTCTCAATCTCATTGCACATGTGTTAGGGATGCGCATTTACCAAAATTTCCTTAACCGGCTATTGATGCCCCTTGACGGTTATCCAGAAACCAACCCCACACCACCTCCCCACCCCCGACACACGCAATTTCCCCGCTCTATAAATAACGCTTTTTCCGTCTACTCTTTTTAATATAATCTGTCACACAATTAAAGCTGCTTTCCGGAATTTTCCTCTTTTAGAAATTATGTATGATTTGTCAGAAATATTTCTTACAAACGGTAAACATAACACAGACCTCCAGCAGAGGAGAAATGCAGAAAAACTCAGCAGACCATGAGGGAAGGTGACTGACGCCCAGGGCTGTGTGCCAGAACTCTGGACCTCTTTGGGACTGAGTAAAAACATCCGGTAGGTACCGATATCAGAAAAAAAAGTATTAAAATGTCCCAATGTGCGACTGTGGGTCACATGACTGATCCCAAGTCACGTTATGAGTGAGAGAGGAGGCGCGTCTCCTTTCAAAAACACTCCTCTGCAGTTCGCAGATGAAAATGCTACTACTACTACTGCTATTACTGACATGAAGTGAAGCATTAATGAAGGCTATTTTTATACATTTATTTCAATGTGGTGCCTTTACTGTTTGCTTTGCTCTGTTTTTGCATAGAAATTTTTAAATAAAATAATATAAACAAAAAGAGCAAAACCTTAACGTAGTTTGTTATCCTCTCTTAAAATAAAAAATATATAGATTTCAAGAAAAGTGTCATTAAGCTGGTTAAAGTAAGAGTAGAAGTATCTCATGGTTCCCAGCCCTACTAACGCCGTAATATTTTAAACTTGTTTTACGTTACCTAACAAACCTTTCTATGAAAGCTCAGATCGCTCTGCTACTGTTCTTTACCGAATATTTAGGCAAAATATAATTAAAAAAAAAGATTAATAAAAAAAACACAAGTTCAAGGAAACTTTTTTTGCTGGTAGGGCTGTGAAATGGGTATTCATTTTTTATGTAAGTGGTCTTGAAAAGGTCTTAAAAAGTCTTAAATTGAACTTGATGAAATCTGTAGGAACCCTTATTGTGTTCCAATAATTAAATAAATATTAATAATTAAATAACTAAGAATAAACTGCTCCAACGCTGCCTTGTTTGTAATTGCTTGTGTTTGAGCACGTTTGTTTGGTCATGTGACATTGGTCATGTGACATTGGTCATGTGACATTGGTCATGTGACATTGGTCATGTGACAAACTAATTTCTTCTGAGTTCTTCTGCTTTTGCCCAGTAAACATATTTGATATCGATGCTCTTGCGCCCTCCATTGGCACAAAATGTATTGCACCAAGCGCAGCAGAAGGACTTAAAACAGTTAACCGGGACAAACTAGTTTACCCTGTTACAACATTAACGACAATTAACCGGTTATCTATGTACATCCCTAACGTGTATAATGACTATAAAGGCGTTTAATTTAATCTCACATTAGCGTATGGCGACTGCTTCAGCAGTGATGTCACTGATCAGCGCCAAAATGCATCCACAATAACATTAAAAGTTTTGTCAATTCAGAGAAGGACAGCGGCTGCATGATGTAAAATGTGGCATTCCAGAAGAAGCTCTTTTTTTTTTTTACAGCGCTCTGAGACAACAAAGCCCCATGAATCACATTGTTGTGGGGAATTTCTCATGTTCTGGTGTCAGGAGTTTAGTTATTTTGAAGCAATGCTATCTGTGCTTATTTTCATTTGCCTCTATTCTGCTTCACAAGCAACTCTTCTCATTTTATTAATGCTGGTTGTTTTGAATGACGTCTGCTGATATAATTTCTTACTGTATTACAACCAATCAGCATGAGTTAAGCAAAAGTTCAGCTCAGCTACTCTACTGGGTCATTCCGAGTGCCCACCCCAGATCAGGTACTTGGCTGTCCTGCTCAAGTGTAGACATGCGTGTGATGGGAAGTTCCTGTAAATTTACCCTGAAGTTCTGGTTGTGGAAACGCACAGATGAAAACAATGGTTCACACCCTGCCCAGGACCCTGATATAATACCAGCATGATAATAATCCAACATGAAATGGAAATGTTTTCTTTTTACTTTGCAGGATCAAGCATGAAAACATTGTGGCACTGGAGGACATCTATGAGAGTCCAGACCACCTGTACCTGGTGATGCAGCTGTGAGTTCATCTTCTCTCTCATTGGCTGTTGTTGAATGATGGGTGTGCTCTTCAGTGTTCCTTCAGATTTAACTTTGTTTTGTTCATTTGAAGAACACACACCTGTCTGTAAAGAAACAGTAATCAATAATAATAATAATGCATTGAACTTATATAGCGCTTTTCTAGACACCCAAAGACGCTTTCACACACTCACATTCACACACTGCTAGTGATGGTAAGCTACTTGTAGCCACAGCCGCCCTGGGGAGGTCTAACAGAGGCGAGGCTGCCATTTGGCGCCGTCGGCCCCTCTGACCACCACTAACACAGGGAAGTTGGGTGAAGTGTCTTGCCCAAGGACACAACAGCAGGATACCCCTGGTGGGAGCTGGAATCGAACCCCTGACCCACCGATCATGAGGCAACCCGCTCTACCACCTGAGCCACTGCTGCCCCCCCCTAAGAAAACTTAGAAGTACAAAAGGGCTAACTTTCTGAAGTGAGCCTGAGGATCTAATCAGGTTGGATAAACTGGCTGTGCTGCTCCACCAGTTTAGATTTAGTTCTGATTTCAGTACTGCAAACTGACAGTCATTTAAATTAGCAAAATGTCTCGGTTTGAAAGTTTTTCTCAAACGTATAGGAAAGGCTCCACCAATGTGGCACACACTAACACAACACAGTCTGTGACAATAGTGCAGTCTGTGTGTTTGATGGTTAGCAAAGGGAAGGCAGATCACCTTTGGTTCACCTTTTGTTTTAGAGCTCCTTACATAAGACAAGTTGGTCAGGAAGTTTGGCGTTGGTGCTGGAAACAATCCAGCCAGCTTTAGGAGGAAATCATGGCTGTGGATTACTCAGCAGCTCCTTGTCACCAGATTATCTCGATACCCACAGCATGTTTGGATGCTTTGATTTCTACACCATATCCGGGCCGTTTTTAGTATGTTTTTAAAAGAGATTTATTATTAGAGACATTGCTAACATAACATTAAAGGTGTGGTTCACTCGTTTAATCAATACATTTGCAGTGGTCTCTGGTAGGAAAGAAAACCTTGCAACCCGTACTTGGTCTGGACGGTCCTGTTGAATTCCAACGTATCAAGGCAATCTCAGATGTTTTCTCCCTTCAAAGGAGCAGCGGTACTGGTTATGCAGGGCTTCCAGCTGCTGCTGGCTGAGTGTACGTGCTGCAGCAGGCCTCTTTCTCTCCTCTGTGTGACTGCAATGCTGCTGTCTGCAACCCCCCATTCTGGTGAAAGACTTGCAGGAGAATAATGTTCCTCTTCTGGATCATTCCATGTGTAAATCCTACTAAGGATGTTTAGTAAACAAACGGTTGCTGGTTCCAGGTGGTGGGTGTCTTTAGTGATGCCATCTTCATCACTCTGAGAAACTTTCCCACCACCTTATTAGAAACACTGGCATCAAACACGTATAATCAAGTTTAAGTGTTCAGTTGTGGTAACATGCTGTACTTTGGCCAGACAAGATCAATCAAATATAACTAAAATATGCATAAATGGACTTTTAATCAGTGTCGTGACTTTCTCTTGGCACAGATAAAATCTCTTGTCCCAGACTAGTTAGTTAAAATGTCTGAACTAGTGTGCATAACTAGTACCTAGATGGTAAACGAGGGAACAAATTCACCTCTTCACAGAACTACTGCCTCATACTGTTACATCACTTGAAATCCTCATGTTGGCCAGACTCCAAAGCTCTTAATTCTGGCTAAGCTGTTTAGTGTTGATGATAAAACCAGTTCACTGTGTTTTCTGTTACTTAGGCTTCTGACGCCACCTGTTAATTGTTTCCTGTGGTTTGTAACATGACAGGAAAACAGCAATCCCTTAGTCTGACTTCACTGACCCTCGACTTTTAGCATAATTATGTTTTGTACACAAGTTAATCATATTAGCTTAAAATATAATTGAAATACTAACTGGGGAAAGGCTTATAATTAGACCGTCATTTAAACATTTAAAAATAATAATCTGGACTTCTGTATTACCTTTGAAAGCTAAAGACAGTTCTGATAAAGTACAACCAATCAGGAAGGACCCTACATCTGCTCACTCATCCTACTCTCACACCTTTCTTCCACTCCAGATCTGTTTTTCTGACTCTTGCACCATCTGCCCTCTACCTTTTTCACATGTTTTTATTTCCTCACCTCTCGTACCTTAATTCCATCGTGTCACCTCTGGGTTTTCTCCTGCTCTCTTACCTTCTTTGATTTCCTTCCAGTTATCATCCGTTACTGGAACCCAGGTCTGTTTATATACAAGGTCAAAGGTAGCAGTGGGGTAAAGTTGTCTTTAGTGTGAACTGCAGGAGTGATGCAACAGGAAGTAGATTTCAACATTTTGGGTGGAAGGAAGTGAAAATGTTAGGAATGCGGAAGCTCTGTGGACGTGTTTGACTCTCAACAAAACTGATCCTCTTGACTAAATATCTTTCATGCTTTCATCACAAATGAATAACATTTGAAGTTAATGATTTATTTTCTAACTCTTGACATCTTTTTTTTTGTTGCATTTATTTTTTCAATATTTTGGGGCAGTACAGATGATGTGATGTACAGTAGTGGTAATGTAAAATCAAAAAATGGATTTGTTAATGGTAAAATGTTTTGTTTTTATTCTAACATCCTAATAATTATTTGAATCTGTTTAGTATGTTTTTTTTCTGTAGTTAAGTTAAATGTTTGCAACACTGAGATATAAAGACTAAAATGTGTTTTACCCAGCGCTTAACCTGCCAGTTACAGGAATGCATATCGCCTTCCACCGTATGACACAAGATTGGTCTGTTGGTTGCTGACGACTGTCGGCCACCAGAACACCAGTTCTTAGCTCAATACTGACTGAGTTGAAGCCACTTTTGTTTGCCACGGTGCGTTATCTGTGGCTGTCTTGATCAGAATTGACTTCAAAGGTTATTCAATAATCAGTGTGCATCCAATTATTATTTTCTGTGGGTTTTATTTAAGTCTGTTTAATGATTTTTGAGATATACTTACAAACTGGGTTGACTCCAGATGCATTCTGTTCTGTGGCAACTGTTTTGCTGTTCACTAATTAATCTGGATTGATTTACAAAATGATAAACAAAACAGTTTCTCTGCAGCTTTACATTTTTAGTCTATTTTAACCTAAATATTAACAGTCTCTGGCTTTTTTAAATCCTGTTATGGAGGGTCGGCGCCCATCTAGCAGTCACGTGGATTAACTATGAACCGGCCACAAGTTTACCACCGGGCCAAAAAAGAATTATGACACAATGTACATTGTTGTCTGTCATTTCCAGAATGAAGCCACACTTCACACTGGAATGTAAGAAGCTGTCAAAGACTAAATAAAATGTAAGAGACTGTAATAAAATGACACTTTAATTTGAACACACATTTTATGTAGTAAAATCACATTAAGTCACGTTTGGCCTTACAGTTGAAGACTGGAAAAATGTTGCCTGGTCTGATGAGTCTCGATTTCTGTTGAGACATTCAATTTATCGTAAACAGAATGAGAACATGGATCCATCATGCCTTGTTACCACTGTGCAGGCTGCTGGTGGTGGTGTAATAGTGTGGGGGATGTTTTCTTGGCACACTTTAGGCCCCTTAGTGCCAATTGGGCATCATGTGAATGCCGCGGGCTACCTGAGCATTGTTTCTGACCATGTCCACCCCTTCATGTCCACCATCTACCCATCCTCTGATGGCTACTTCCTGCAGGATAGTGCACCATGCCATAAAGCTCCAATCATTTCAAATTGGTTTCTTGAACATGGCAATGGGTTCACTGTGCTACAATGACCCCCACAGTCACCAGAACTCAACCCGATAGAGCATCTTTGGGATGTGGTGGAACGGGAGCTTCGTGCCCTGGATGTGCATCCCACAAATCTCCAACAACTGCAAGATGCTATCCTATCAACATGGGCCAACATTTCTAAAGAATGCTTTCAGCACCTTGTTGAATCAATGCCACGTAGAATTAAGGCAGTTATGAAGACAAAAGGGGGTCAAACACCGTATTAGTAATGTTTTCCTAATAATCCTTTAGGTGGGTGTAGATAGATTTACAGATAATCAGAGAAACTCTTCTTGAGTTTTTGGAGTTTTGAGTTTCTTTTTATCTCAGATTTTCCTATAATCTTTTCTTTTTATTCTGCTACACATATGATTTTTTTCTATAATAGTCTCCCAAGCGGTTTCATCTTCAATGTACAGACACTTGTTAAGATATAAAAGAATCCAGCTCTTCTTCAGCTGGAGTCAGTGCTTCAAACTGCTTTCTTAATCATCACACAGCTTTAAAGTTTCATTACTACACAGTAGTTTAATTATAATTCTTTGTCTATCCATGCCAGTAAAAGCTGACAGCTGACCCCCACACCAGGCTCGTGTGATCACTGCACTGGTTCTGATCTCTGCACCATTAAGCAGCTTCATTTGTTATAATTATGCTCATTTGCCAAAATGTCAGTGTTTTTTCCTTTTCCGACGGGCTGAAATCTCTTTTAGGAACAAGGATTTTCAAATGTATTCCGTGTAATTGAAGCTCTGTAGATCAGTGCGGTCTGACGGCCTTTGCTTTGCTGCCCTTCATCACAGCTTGTCTTACGTAACCTGGAGCACGGGGAGGCAATCGGCTCATGCTCCTGTGAAAATCGATGCAGCCAAGTCCGACTTGGCCCTATAAATGAGTGCTGTTTGTGTTGTGAATGGAAAACTAAAGATGAAACGCATTTAGAGTTTCATCTTTTCATTTTTTGATCCAGTGGAAGTTGTTTGACAGCACTTTGGCGTGCTGATACAGTTTGGCTGCTTTATTTTCTGTCCATTTGTTTTGAGACAGCTTATTAGGCAGTGAGTGGAGGAATAAAGATGCATAAGCAGTGTCAGCCTGAAAAACACTCATCTGTGCTTTGTCTTGTCAAACCTGTAAATGTTTGGCTAAGTCTCAGAAATGCATTTTAAAAGGAAGGTTCCATTTTTATTATTTAGTTCACACAAATTTATTCAAAGACTTGTCAAAACATGCTGGTTATTAAATCTGTTGCCTAATGGTTGTTTTAATTGGGTTCTGTTTGCAGAGATTCAAAGTTTAATAAAGGTCAAATTATCACACTACAGCTTATTTTGTATTGCTTTAATCTAATTTAGGTGTTTGTGGGAATAATTAAGATCTGATCAAAGGAAGAGAACTTCCTCCAAGGCAGATAATGACTGCAGCAGCAGATCTCTGGCACTGTGGTGTTATTACGACCCTTTATCTTTGCCAGGGTGGACAGCCTGTTACACACACACACACACACACACACGCACGCACGCACGCACGCACGCACGCACGCACACACACACACACACACACACACACACACACACACAGAGGCTTTACTGTCAGCCATGATGCACAACCATCTTCCATAGAGAGCGACCAGACTGCCTGCCCAATACCAGATCAGCTAAAAGGAGAGGAGATGGCAGCAGCATTTAGTCTGCAAGAACACTTTGAATCATGACAACAACATCTAAGGTTTCTGTGATGGTTTTACCACAGATTTACCAAGAGAATCTTCTGAGTTAAAGCCAGCACTCTAGGTTCGGATGGAAGATGGTCAACAAAAACACACACGCTGTTCTAGAAGAGCGATATTCCCACTAAATGAGAAAACTTAAACAGGTTTGTGACGTCATGCAGGAGAAACGAAAGATCTTGACACCTAAAATTGCTTCACTTTAAGCTAAATCTTCAGGAACTTAATTTCTTCTGGGGAAAGTTCATTTGTTTGTGCTCCAAACAAACATGGAGACTAAAAGAGTGTTTGATGCTTTGAATTCCTTTTGCTTTCCATTTGATAAGAAAACACCGTGATTTTAGCATCGACAACCCAAATCCAGTTTCTCACTGAGTTGGACCTGTTGATGACCAATTGAAAATGAGGGTTTCCAAAGTGTTTCACTGGAATCCCTAGGTCACGGCAAGCATCTGGAGCTCTCCTCATCCTGGTTGAGAAAGAAACTGAGAGACGACTTTGAGAGGCGTTGGAAACAAAAAGCATTTTTATGTTTAATATGATTCTAACAGAAATCTGTATGTTTCTCATAATTTTGTGTCAAGCTCACAAACACCAGTCACAATCTAGAGATTGGTTAGAGTCTAACCCCAACTTCACACTGGAAGCATCAGTGGTGCGGAACGGTAGCAGAACATCAGTGCTTCAAATAGAATCCATTAGTCTATGGAGGTGGTTAAAACCAGCCGCGATGTGGCGCGTCCCAGAAGCGGCTTGCTGTGCTGCTACAAACAGGATTGGGTTCTATTTTTTCAGTGAGCTGCTTCTGAGACATGCCAGTTTCAGCAGTTAGCATAGAGCTAGACAGGAAATCACACATGGATTTAGTGTAAAACCAATTTGCAAAAGAAGACTATTGCAGCGATGCAATTTCATAGCTATACAGATCACGTCAATACAAGTGACCTAATGGTTTATTTACTTCCTGCATCGTTCCAGAAGTGCAGCGGTGTGTTTTCCATGGCTTTAATCCTAGCAGTGGAGAGAAACAATATCATATATGACATCAGTGGTATCAAACGTGGTCTCCTTCTCTTTGGTTTAATTGTGGACAGCATAAACAAACCGTGACCTTTGAAGTCTCCAGAGATTTAGCGATTTCGCTAGTCCATCAAAGAGCATGGCATTGAAGCCGCTCTGTGGCTGAGATTCTCCCGGTGTGTACTGGCATGCAGCGAAGCTCACGATGAAACCGTTCTGCTGCCATTCCACTGATGCGGTGTGAAGTAGGGCTTAGTTATGGTTCAATCAAAGAGATTCTCCTTTTCTCCTACCTGAGGCTGCTCGAGAAGACATCCGCAACAGTTATTTAATAATTGTTAATAATCTTTCCACAAACACTAACTTCAAAAGATGTGAGCAGTTAAAGGTTTAGCAAACACTTGGCTCTTGGTTTTCTTATTATTAGAGGCAAATGACAGAATGAAGGTGAAACCAGCGACTGTTGAAAAAAGAGAACTAAGTGATTGTGATTTGAAACGTAGATGTGATTTATGTTTTCCCTTCAATGTTTGTCACTAGGATTTTCCACGTACATCTTTGTGTGTACATTTGTATGAATTATTGCTTTAGTTAGTCTCATCCCGTGTGTGTGTGTGTGTGTGTGTGTGTTCCTGTCTTATTGCCATGGTCTCCTTACGCAAATGCTTATGCAACCATACATACTGGTGGCTGATCAGCCCTTTGGTGTGTGTGTGTGTGATCTAGCTCTTTCCTATCATTCCCAGACGAGGCTGCGTCTGAATACAAGCAAGTTGCTGCCCTCTTTGAACAGAGATGGAAAGGATTAGCAGTTAACTCTGATCCCTTTTTTTTTCCTCCAGAAACTTCATTAGTTAAACTTCAATAAACTCTAATCTAATCTGTTGCTGTGACGACACCCAGCAGATGCATGGGGCAACCATGTTTGCCCTTGTGGTTTCTTTATTCGTGTTTTATGAACACATTTGTGTTTGTGTCATTGTTTAAAACTTTAATCGAGTTGGCATCGTTTTAATAACAGCTCTTCTCAGATGCTGATTTGTGTCTATCTTTGTCACACTGTTCATGAAACAGAAGAAATGGGAACCAACTGTGTCTTTATGAAAGGCTGCCTGTTATTAACAAAATGTCTTAAGATGCAATTTAAAATCAACCTTTAGTTAAGATTTCTTTTAGGTTTAGGCACATTTCTTTTCATTCATTCAAATGTCTTGAAAGGCCTGAATTTTTCTGGCACAAAACAGTTTGAAGGGCCTTCAAAAGGCTGATTGAACTATATTTGAAAGAGTTTGGAAATAAAAATCAGCAGCTTAAGAAAATCCCCTCAACTTTAATGTGATTATCATCCAGCAGGGGGCGCTATATGCCTGTCTACCAGGAGATGAGTCACTGCTCACCTGTATAAACTGAACACCTGAACAAGTTAATTCATGCGCTTCAGAGTCATAAAACATTAACTATTACAGGAATCTGCCAGAGGGGAGAATTTTTCACGTTAAATTCTGTTTTTAGTGGATCAAATGTTCTGATTCAGACTGTAGATTAGCTTTTCTTCCTGAAAGAGCTTAAATAATCATTTCATTACTGAAATGTGGAATTTGACTTCTTCACTACAGCCGCTGAAAATATTGGTGAATTCAGAGAAATGTAACTCTTTCATTATTAACTGTTATCATGTATTCTAGAGCAACGTGAGTTGGTGGGGTCATACTGCTCACAAACACTCCAATGATAAACTTTACAGCTCATAAATGACCAGACATCCTGACCCAGTAACCTCTCCACACACACACACACACACACACACACACACACACACACACACACACACACACACACACACACACACACACACACACACACACACACACACACACACACACACACACACACACACCACCTGGTCTGTGAGTCCCATACTGGAGAATGAGAGTGTGTTTTCTCTGAAGGGTTTCTGGCGGGGAGCTGTTTGACCGAATAGTGGAAAAAGGATTTTACACGGAAAAGGATGCAAGCACGTTGATCCGGCAGGTCCTGGATGCTGTCAACTACCTGCACAAGATGGGGATTGTGCATCGAGACTTGAAGGTAGGAGCCTCACATGGATATGCTGCTGTATGATTCCTCTACATAGGAATAAAGTACAACCTCCAATGTGTCTTTCTTTTTCTTGCAGCCTGAGAACTTGTTGTATTTTAATCCTCAAGACGAATCCAAGATCATGATCAGCGACTTTGGTCTGTCCAAGATGGAGGGCAGCGGCGATGTCATGTCCACAGCATGTGGCACGCCGGGATATGTGGGTAAGCTGGTCAGACTTTCCCCATCTCTGAAGACTGTCGGTAACCGATTGGCTAAGGGGCGGAGTCATTGGTTGCTCTTGAAATGCTAAAATTGCATTTTTGTGCAGATTATTTATTTACTCTTAATAGAGAATCCATCTGTATTCAGCCCTTAGTAGTTCACTCATTATCGCCTCATTCCACCTGACTCCCGTACAACCCTGACTCACTTTAGTGTTCTCTTTATAGGATCAAAGGTATGGAACGGTCTTCCCTTCTTATTTGCAGAACTTACAAAAAGTCTATTTAAAAAGGCTGTAAAATTGATGCTGTTGAAAATATTCAATTTCCAATATAAGCTAAGGTGTTAAATTAGAGTGAAGTTATTTTATTGTGACATGCTTGTTTCATGTTTAAAGTCACGTTAGTCATCGCACACTGGTGAAATGATTTCTCTGCATTTGACCCATCCCCGTGGGGAGCAGTGAGCTGCAGACACGGCCATGCTCAGGAACTATTTGGTGGTTTAAACCCCCCCCCCCCCCCCCCCCATCAAACCCCTTAAAGCTGAGTGTCAAGCAGGGAGGAATTGGATCTCATTTTTAAAGTCTTAAGTTTGACCCGATCGGGATTTGATCCCATGATTTGTCTCGGGGTGGACACTACCACTAGACCACTGAGCCTGTTTCTGTTTTATTTGTTGCCACAACATACAGGTCTGGCATAAATACTGCATCACTTTGTGTCCTTTTCTGGGGATTTTTTAAATTGACAGACATTTCTAGAAACAATACCTTGTTTATGATTGTGATAATAGAAATTGCTTAGACTACTCAGAGGGGTGGTATGTGTGTGTGTGTGTGTGCACGATAAATTTACTGCATCTTTTTGCCCTCAACACATTTAGAAATGATCATATTTAAACTCGAATTTCCCTTCCCTGGGACAAATAAATAAAGTTTTCATTTCATTTCATAGTTATTTAAAACATTCAGTGGTTTGTGACTTCCCGGTGTTAAAATGCCCCACATCTGAATCAAGTGCAACAAAAGCATGCGGCTTCATGAGTCAGAATGCATCTCCATCTCGTGTTTTAAGCTGGCTTGTTCTGAAGCAGCTGTGTTTGTGTTTGGTGTCTGTGACCGTGGTTCTGTCCTGAGTCCTTTGTAATCAGCTGCAGAGGCTCAATTCAGAAGAGGCTTTTATCAGAGTACCAATCATGTCTGAAGCTAACTGGGGTTGTCTAGTCATGTCTTCTGTTTCATTGGACTGAACTGCTCCGGAGTCATGAGAATCCGAAGCTCAAACACCAAACTTCCCACCATTGTGAACCCTCCAGATACACATGGGGTGTCTACATAGTTTCTTTGCTTTCAGGCTCATTAAGTTGCAGCATTTTACATAAAAATCACACTCTGTCTTTTTATTGGAGCTCAAGCAGAAAACCACCATCCACATTTAGGTGTAGGAAGGTTTTATGAGCTGGCTGCTACAGGACTGAGGTGCTTACTAACCGGTTTTCTCTCTAATTGTCTCGTGTAGCTCCGGAGGTTCTCGCCCAGAAGCCATACAGCAAAGCTGTGGACTGCTGGTCCATTGGAGTGATCGCCTACATCCTGTAAGTACCAGCAATGAGGCTCCATGACACTCAGCATTGGCGGGATTTTCATAGTCTGACTGAGATTCACAGTATGCAGGGTGTTTCCTGCATTCAAATTTACGTGGCGGCCGCCTCCAGCTATTTTTGTGCCGCCCCAGCCTGATTTCACTCTGCCCCCAGCTATATGGATGTTATCTCAACTGCAGTTGCAGTGTTGCGCCACTAAAGGGGCACTGTATCAGCAGCGGTGCACCGAAAAACGCTAAAACTGCTGCAGAAAAAGATCAAAAATTGCTTTTCTCGCTAGATGGTACATATCTATGGTTGGTGCTATTGTAGGCTGACCATACGTCCTCTTTCCCCCGGACATGTCCACTTTTCACTCTCTGTTCGGGGCGCCGGGGGGGTGGGGGGGGTGGGGTGGGGATCAAGTTTCTACCTGTATTACAATATTTATGGACTGTCGGCCTAGTGGGATTTTGTTGAGTGGAGAGGACGCAGAGCACTGATCGCTGGTGCGCCCGCTGCGTCCAGCACACGATACATTCTCAAGGTGGCACAGCAAAACATTATTAACACATGATCATTCATATCTGTTTAAATCCTCTGGTACTCTGTCTTTTAATCGTTCCTGACACGCTCACTCATCGTGTGCTGCGGTGATTTCACCTCACTGACGCAGCATCGAAACGCGCACTCCGCTTTGCGGTCAGGAGATCCCTTTGATCTGCGTAGTTCAAAAGTAACTGATGAGGTGAAAAAGTAAGAATCCAGGCAGCAGTTTTTCTGGAGAGTTTAGAGGAGATGCAGGAAGATGAGAGAGAGACAGGACAATAGTCACATAAAAACAAGAAAACAAAGCTTGAAAGTAAAATGTAGATAGATTTATCTCCACTACACATTTTTACCTGTATTAAACAACAAGTTATATACATGTCATATTTATACATCTGATTCAATTCAGATCACCTTCAAAACTCAGTCACACACCCAGGGCCGTTTCAAGGCATTTTGGGGGCCAAGGCAAAACAGAACACCCCCCTAACCCATACATAATAGACATGCCACCATTACATTGTTAGCAGCAGAAATTAAATCTTACCATTTCCAATACAAATGCATGTTAATGAAATGCATTATATTTTACTGGATATATTTATGTTATTTTGGCTAAGACGAGTGTTATTAATACAAACCTAAAATGTTACTGAAATGTAGGTCAAATATTTAAAAATATTTTTAACTATAAATATCAGATGGGGAAAAAGGAACTAAACACCAATCTAATGCATATTATAGAGCCTTTTATAATATTTTGCCTTTGGAAAAAGTGAGGCAGTTGAATGCACAGAGTATGCATGTGCTGGCGCATGGTCAGGATGGTACCACCTCTGCCTCAATTTGAGCCAGGAAAAATCCTGGTATACCAGAGTTTCCCTGCCTTAACTCTTTAGTTATTTCGTTCTTAATTCATTCTTTGATCTGGTCTTTTGTGTAGCCTTTATTTTTAAATGTGTTTCCCAAAAACTCCGAACCACTGAGTCACTTGTTGGTCATTTCTAACAGATTCATTTTTGTAAACACATGCCTGTGGCTGACTGCATTGGTAATCTATTAGTTGCTGGACAACCCAGTTAAACCACCTCCTGATGCCTTTTATGTACTCTGATTGTCTGTAGAGACATTTCTAAAATCCAGTAAGATGTACAGAAATGTCGCCTTAAATGTTTAAATTTATTGTTTTGAGCTTGTCATTACCATAGTCTGATTTATAAGTAGACATGATTGTTGGAGCATGCAGACATTTTCAGGTTCATTCAAGGATGAAAAAGCTACAAATGTTCTGTTGAAGATCTAATGTAGCTGACTTGTACCACTCACTCACTCTCTCTCTCTCTCTCTCTCTCTCTCTCGCTTTCTCGCTCGCTCACTCACTCACTCACTCACTCACTCACTCACTCACTCACACATACATACACACACACAAGCAAAAACTTTTATTTATTTGGTCTTTAATTCAATTCAATTTTATTTATAAAGCGCCAAATCACGACAAGAGTTGTCTCAAGGCACTTCACATAATAAACATTCCAATACAGGTCAGTTCATTAAGCCAATCAGAAAAAATGTTTCCTATATAAGGAACCCAGCAAATTGCATCAAGTCACTGACTGGTGTCAGTGACTTTACAGCAATCCTCATACTAAGCAAGCATTTAGCAACAGTGGAGAGGAAAACTCCTTTTAACAGGAAGAAACCAGAAACCTCCAGAGGATCCTGGCTCAGTATAAGCAGCCATCCACCACAACTCACTGGGGATCGAGAGCACACGCACGCACGCGCACACACACACACCAAGCAATGTGTCAATGGTTACATCGTGATTTCTTAGTAAATATTCTATTTGTCGAGAGATAAACTTTATTGTATTTATCCTAGTGAATCAATTAAACGGGTAAACTAGTAGTAGCACATCCAACGTCAAGGAAAGCAAAAAGTTATTATCAGGAGAGGGATAAGTGGTTAGCAGCAGTGTGCTAGACGATGCCCCCCTCCATGAGGCCACCTCAGCTCAGCAGAACATCATTGTAGCTTCTTATGGGGAGAAAAACACTTAGAGAAAAAATAAAGTTAACAGCTGAAATTGCAGAAAAAGAGCAGATTGTAGAAGAAAGCAGTAGAGTGTGAAAAGTGGTCAGTGTGTCCTCCAGCAGTCTAAGCCTATAGCAGCATAACTACAGAGATAACTCTGGATAACCTAGCCTTTTACATGGAGGCATGTTGGAGGCAGGGCAAGGGAGAGCCGTCTTTACCGACTGTACACTCCACCTCCCTCTACTCCCCCACTTGTCCTGATTTAGGCTAACATCAGATTTTAACCATAGGCCCTATCAAATAAAAATGTTTTAAGCCTATTCTTAAAAGTAGACAAAGTGTCTGCCTCACGGACTAAAGCTGAGAGCTGGTTCCACAGGAGAGGAGCCTGATAACTAAAAGATCTGCCTCCCATCCTAGTTTTAGATATTCTGGGAACCACCAGTAAACCTGCAGTCTGAGACTGTAGTGCTCGGTTAGGAACATATGGAACAATCAGATCACTGATGTATGATGGTGCTTGACTATTAAGAGCTTTATATGTGAGAAGAAGGATCTTAAAATCTATTCTGAATTTAACAGGTAGCCAATGTAGGGAAGCTAAGACAGGAGAGATATGATCTCTCTGTTTAATTCTCATCAGAACTCTAGCTGCAGCATTTTGGACAAGCTGAAGACTTTTAACTACATTCTGTGGACTTCCTGAGAGTAACGAATTACAGTAATCCAGTCTTGATGTAATAAATGCATGAACTAGTTTTTCAGCATCACTCCTGGAAAGGATGCTTCTAATCTTAGCAATATTCCGAAGGTGGAAAAAGGAAATCCTATGTGTTTAACGTGGGATTTGAATGACATGTCCTTGTCGAAGATAACACCAAGGTTCCTTAATTTGTTCTCGGAGATTAATTTAATGCCATTCAGGTCAGGTGATTGGCTAAGCAATTTCCTTTTCTGGATTTCTGGTCCAAATATGAGAACTTCCATCTTGTCTTGATTTAAAAGCAAGAAGTTTTGAGTCATCCAATTTTTTTTTTTGTCTTCAAGACAAGCCTGTAATCTACCCAACCGATTAGGTTCATCAGGGTTAATGGATAAATATAACTGAGTATCGTCAGCATAACAGTGAAAGTTTATCCCATGCTGTCTAATGATTTTACCAATTGGGAGCATATATTTGATAAAAAGAATTCGTCCAAGCACTGAACCCTGTGGTACTCCACAAGTAACCCTGGAGTATGAAGACGATTTGTCATGTACATTTACAAAATGAGATCTATCAGACAGGTAGGATTTAAACCAGCCTAGCGCTGTTCCTTTGATCCCTACAGCATGTTCAAGTCTTTCTTCAAGAACATTGTTATCAACTGTGTCAAAGGCAGCACTGAGATCTAACAAGACTAGAACAGACACAAGATTCTTATCTGAGGCCATGAGAATATCATTTGTAACTCTCACTAATGCAGTTTCAGTGCTGTGATACTCTCTAAAACCAGACTGAAATTCCTCAAACAGAGCATTAGTGTTTAAATGCTCACATACTTGGATGGCCACTATTTTCTCCAGGACTTTGGATAAAAATGGAAGGTTAGATATTGGTCTATAATTCATTGGGTCATTTGGATCCAGAGAAGGCTTCTTAAGTGAAGGTTTGATCACAGCAACCTTAAAATCCTGTGGTACATACCCATTTACTAAGGATAGATTGATTAAATCTAGAATGGGGGCAGTAATCAAAGGAAATGCATCTTTAAATAATTTGGTTGGGATTGGATCCAAAATGCAAGTTGAAGGTTTAGATCTGGGGTGGGCAATTATTTTTTCCATGGGGCCACATGAGAAACATAAAATATTGTGGAGGGCCAGGCCAAAAGGCTGAAGTCAATTATGCATAATATTAATGGTATTTCTTTATAAAAAGCAGTAAATACCATCGGTTTTTCAAGCTGGTAAGAGTAGACTATATGTTATAAATGAGCAAAAAGGAAAAAGTGAGGTTGGCTTACAAAAAATGTGATTTATTCAAATTTCCCAAGGCAATGGTAAACAAAGTGTGCGCATTTGGTTTTTGTTAAACATTTGTGACTTATATTAGTTAACAGTTTCAGTCACATTCACTCCAAAACACATTTTGAGTTTCAAATATAGTTGGAAAGAGGTTCTTAGCATTCTACAGACACTCAGTATTGTCTGTAAAATAAAATCACTGAACTGTGATAAAAGAGGTTTAAAGAAAAGTGTCCCAGTTCACTGCTAGTTGCCTACATTTGTGGTCCAAACACCTTATTTCGTGTTTTAAGCGATTTTTTTCTTATTCAGTGAGAGAAATCTAGTCCGCTGGGCTTTAACGAGTGCATCAAAGTCAGGTTGAATGTCTGAGGTGGAGATGCGAAGCACAGCTGACAAATGATCATCGGTGAGAGAGGATTTATACCTGGATTTTGTAAACTTCATCATTGAAAATGTTAGTCTACAAATGTAGGTAGAGCCGAAGAGAATCAACATCTTCTGAGGATGTCTCCTCAGGTTTGGGAAGTTCTCCTCCTTAAGAGAAGAGTAGAAATCCAGCAGAGATCCTGACTTAAAGTGCTCTGCCAATACTGCATCAGACTGCAGGTCAATGAGTTCCAGCTGCACATCACTGAGTTCATTATCCACATTGCAGGTAAAGGGAGAGGAAATCATGTGCATTTCATCCTCGATTGTTCTGAGATCTTCAAAACGCCTTGAAAACTCACCATGTAATGCTCCTAACATGGATGAGTACCTGCTGAGGTGATCAGCTGATGGTGTGACTTCGTTCAGGGTTTGCATGTGAGTGAGAGTGTTGCTCTCCAGTTGACTTGAAAGAAACTGCAGCTTTCTCTTGAAGGCCTTCATGAGGCTGTGCATTTCATGAACAAAAAGGCCCTTGCCTTGCAGTCTGGTGTTCAGTTCATTCATCAGTGCAGTCACATCAACAGCAAATGCAAAATCTGCCATCCAATCCTCATCTGAGAGCTCTGGAATGTCTTTGCCTTTCCTCTCGCAAAACTCTTGAATCTCTGCTTTCAAGTCCCAAACCCTCTTCAGCACTTTCCCCAGGCTGAGCCATCTGACAGCTGTGTGGTAGCCAATGTCACTATGCTCAGTCTCATGCTCCTCCAAAAGAGCGACAAACTGTGATTCATTGCCCGTGCCCTGATGAAGTTTATTATTTTGGTAACAACATCAGTAAAATGGTTGATTTTTAGCACTGACTTGCACAACACATGGTGGTGTATAATGCAATGCAAAAACACCAATTTTTGATCTGCATCGATTTCTGTCACTTTATCTTGCATGCGTTTCCAAAGTCCGACATTTTCCCTGTAAGATTTGGACAACCGTCTGTTGTGACACCTGACAGTCTCTCCCATTTCAATCCCAGAGTGTCCATGCACGCATTTACCTCTGTAAAAAGATCACTCCCTATCCGTGCCCTCTCAGCATCAGACAAGTTCTTGTATTTTTCCGAGTGTTTCTTGTTGTAATGCCGACTCAAATTGTAGTCCTTAAACACAGCAATCTCCTCCCCACAAACCAAACACACGGCTTTACCTCCGACTTCAGTAAAAAAATACTTAGCAGTCCAATTTTTGTTGAAAATCCTGCATTCGGCATCTTACTTTTTTTTTGCATGAGCGGACATTTCTGGGGGCTGCAATCACCATGTCAACCGCGGGCACTTGTTGCTATACGTATTGCGTCATTGTGTACGTAAAAAACAACTTCAAAATAAAAGCAATGCAGCCTTAGTCCATGCATGAGGTAAAATGAAAAAATGCATTTATTTTGTAATTTCCAATTAACCTTACGTGGGCCGGTCAAAGTCAACCAAAGGGCCGTATGTGGCCCGCGGGCCGTAAAATGCCCAGGTTTGGTTTAGATGAAGCTAATATTTTTGATAAGTGAAAGTTCAACTGGATCAAAACGGTTCAAACACAGATGAGGTTCTACAGTTACCTCTGATTTAAGGTTGCTATTTTTTAGGTACCTGAGTGTTTATTATAACATGATTATGACCCACCTTGGTGGGTGGAGAGATACTGAGAAACCCTTCCATAGAGGCCTGAGTTGTGACTGGACAGGTGAGATGGTAACAGCTAGGATTAACCATGGTGAAACTTTTAGGATTAGATTGTAATAACAACTACCGGTAATCTGTTCCTCCAAACTGAGTTTGATTAAAGGGCGGTTCATAAAGTCTCTATCAAAATCCACTTGAGCTGTCCTTGTAATAGCATCAGATCGTGTGTGTGTGTGTGTGTGTGTGTGTGTGTGTGTGTGTGTGTGTGTGTGTGTGTGTGTGTGTGTGTGTGTGTGTGTGTGTGTGTGTGTGTGTGTGTGTGTGTGTGTGTGTGTGTGTGTGTGTGTGTGTGTGTGTGAGAGAGAGAGAGAGAGAGAGAGAGAGTAAGCAACAGAAACACAACTCTTAGCTTAAAAAAAGCTAAAGTTTACAGAATATATTGTCAGTACTGCGTGTTCATGCCCCTGCACCCTGAAGAGTGCGTTCTAGCTGACTGGGGTTTAAGGGTCAAAGGTTCTTAGCAGGTTAATGGGAGGCAGAGCAGAGAGTTTGATGAGAGGATGGTAACCGATGTTGGTATGACATTAGATGAATTTATTTATTTTTTGTAGAAATCTATAATTGTTTAAATAAAAAGATTTTGCGTGTGCGAGTGTATGTATGAGAAAGGGATATTTCATTTAACTTTTATAATAATGTGTGTGCTAGATGGGGTGGAGAGTTATAGTGGAGGGTTTGTCTTTAATCTAAAATAAAATAAACAATCACACCAGGTAGAATGTTATCTTCACCTCCTGCTTTTTGATGCGTATTAATAGAGAATGGCATTGAAACCTTTAAACCTGTCAGTGGTTTTGGTTGAAAGGAGCTCCACTTTTGGTTGATTCTGGGTTTGTTCCGAGTAAAATTGTGTAATATCTCAAGTTTACAGCCATACATCCCTATTACACCACAGTACACAATACAAGGGTCATTTTGAATTGTTTCTATTAATATTACAACTAATTACCATTTACCCACCGCTTCAACAGCCTCTGTTCAGAGAAATGGCTTTTCCATCCAAAAAGGACCAATGAGCTAACAGCTAGTTGGAGTATATCTGCTAAATTTCCTAGCAAATACTATTACCTATTATTACATGTATACATATAATCAAAAATATCACCATGAAAGCAAAATTGCAGCTGGGGGTGTGTACGACATGCAGCCATGACTGGAAAATGTGTTGTTTTCTGTCACTAGAAGCTGATTAAGAAAGTTTCAACCTCTTTTTTTACTCTGCCTTCAGTGAGAAGATGTCATTATAACTAGTCTTTGTTGAACCCGCTTCCTACAGGCTGTGTGGTTATCCTCCATTCTACGATGAAAATGACTCAAAGCTGTTCGAGCAGATCCTTAAGGCCGACTACGAGTTTGACGCTCCGTACTGGGATGACATATCGGATTCAGGTGAGGATTTGTTTTCATCACTCTTCATTCATTTCACCCTACATCCTCATAACCAAAGGAATGAAAACGATTGCTTGTGTGTGAACGTATGCATGTGTAAGGCCATGTATCAACGTTGTTGTAGTTAGCAGTAGAACCACTAATAAATGTATATTTCTGCTGTCAACTTTGTATTTAGTGTTAAAGGTTCCATATCTAGCTATTTTACACCTAACCTAAAGGTAGGCACAGTTTGATTAAATATTACCATTGGCACTATTGAGATGTCATTTATCTTACAGACAAATTATTTTTGTAGCCTGAGTTTATACCTGAAAATAAAACTGTTTGTTTCAGTGAAACTCCGCCCACGCTCGCTCCGATAAAACATTCCTGCAACCAGTGTTAGGCATAATGGCATTTAAGTATAACGGTGTTATTTTTAGGTAAGAGAGGAATCTAATGGCCTTTCCCATCTTTGCAACGTCGTTATTGTTACCGGACAGTAACTGGTGCGTTACTCCTTTACTATGATGTGGTTTAATGAAGCATAGCAGTTGTCAGGCTTTCTGACAGCTGCACCAGTGATGTGTCGGTCGCGCACGAAACGGCTTTTGAGCTAACCGGAGCTGACGTGAGTGTATCGGCTGTACCGGCACCCGCCCCCCCCACCCCGAGCTGGTGTTACAAACGGCAAAACAGAACACACAACGTTGAACGCACCAGGGCGTTGGCAGATCAGAGGGAGTGGCACTCGCAAAATCCCTGGGACAATTATTACATTACCATGATGGGACATGTAAATACTGGTGGAGACAAATCTGTAAGAGACGAGGAAAGAAGAATAAACAGCGCTTCAGAAACGTAAAGAGATAAGTGGAAGCAGTACAGGCAAGATGGTCCCAAATATGTGGCAAGCCAATTTTACATTTAATCAACTATCAGACTTCTCTGTAATTTCCTATTTCATATAGCAATTTAATTCATCCTAGTAATACTTGTATTTTTATTAGTCTAAATTGCAGCTGAAGATGTCAACAGCTCTGTTATTACTATAGAAATTATAATTAAGCATATCCATAATAACTGCACTTGTAAGAATTAAGTTTGAGATATCTCAGAGTCCTTAAAAACCTAACGTGATCTTATTAACATTAATTAGGCAGACTGGATATGTATACCAGATATCTAGAATTCTACTCTTTCTAGTAGAAATTAACATTCCAGATATCCATGAGAATTTTCTTACTGAATGAACTCTTTAAATATCAGAAATGTTCTTTATAGATTGTAAGAATCATTTAGTTATAAAAAATCTTTCACTTTATAGTAGGGCTGGGACTTGATTAAAATTTTTAATCTAAATAATTAGAGGCTTTGTAATTAATTAATCTAAATTAATGGCATTTTAATCGTTCAGGAAAATGTGCTCTCAGAGCAAAACTTTTTATTAAAATTATGAGAGAGAGAATCAAACAATAGACATGCTTATTACTGTAAACTAAAGCTTTTAATTTAAAAAATGCCTTTTAATTATTCAAATGTCACTGTGTGATATGAAACAAAACCCTAATCAACTAAAATTTATAACTACAAATAGAAAGCACCTGCAAAGGGTTCCTGAGCCTTTAAATAGTCTCTCTGTCTAGTTGAATGACTGAAATAAATTTGACTTTGCACCAGATTCTAATTTTTCCAGTTTCACTTGTTTGTATAATTGGGAGTTTTTATTAGCTTTTCTACTTATAATGTAGTAAAAAAACACACATATAAATAATAATCCTTCACAATGACAGTAGAACAAGCACAAATATGATCTAGGACATAAACGTACTAACTTTTAACACCAGAGCAGGTGTGGCATATTCTGAGAATGATCAGGAACATTAACTGGTTCCAGTTGGATGACTGGAGGTTGATGGGAAGATAAAAGATCATGGCGAGGAAATAATGATCTGACGAACAGGTGAGCGGGCCTTCCTTATATGGGAAGTCCTGATGTCACGTTAATAAGGGGATGCTGCAGACCCGCAGATTCACGCCTGCTGCAGCGAATCTGGTGTGATCTCCAGCCTGATCACAACGTTCTCGTTCCTCGCTGCCCCTGATGCACTTAAGCATCCGCCCCTTAGCTGATGACAGCTTCAACACACCTCGCTGCTTAGTAATGCATGTGATGTTTAGACAGTGACTCGTCTCAGAAACATATAATTCCCCGACAGAATTCTTTAGAAAAGTTTCAGAGCGTTTCTGTTTTAACTTAAATTTCTGTTTTCAATTTTAAGACACGTTGTTTGTGATTGTTTACAGAGTAGTGAGAACACGGAGCGTTATCCCAGCGGCAGCCAGGTGCCACTCGTTTGTCTGACTACTTTCATAAACTACTGTTAGGGCAAATAATTATTCTGTAAGGTGCTTTCAGCGCTGCACAGATGTTACGTGTTTCCTAAATCCTGCATCAGTCCAAGCAAGGCAGCTTCTCTCTGTTTTTATTCCATTTTAGTAGCCATTAGCACTGTGCATTGTTGTGTGCGTCAGTGATATTCAGTCTACGAGGAAGTCGTGCAGTGACAAAGGTTCCACCGTGCTCGAAATGCAAGCTGCGATTAAATGCAGGATTTTTTTAACGTGTTATTTTTTTCTAATTAATTAATCATAATTAACGCGTTAAAGTCCCGGCCCTACTTTATAGATATTATAGAGAGTAACTGCCTTATAGAACATAACATAAAAGTAACATCACAGTTAGTTTGCTAGTTAACTAATTACCAGTGCCGACACTCCCTAAATGAGCATCACACACAGTACGTAGGGCACCAAGTGGCCAGGGGGCACCAAGCAATCGGGCACCACAGAACATTTGTGCTAAGGGCACCCAAATAGCTAGCACTGGCCCTGGTAATTACTTTTGCAATGTGGTAACTGAGATACTAACTCAATAACTTTTTGGAAAAAATTATTTGTAACTATAACTAATTACTTATTTAATGTAAGATGCCCAGCACTGCCTACAACAGCATCTTAGGCAAGTCACTTGCAGTAGCTCAGGAGGTTGAGCGGGTTGTCCAGTAATCGGAGATTTGCAGGTGCGATCCTGGCTTCAGACAGAGAATTCTGCTGTTGTGTCCTTGGGCGCCTGTGCTTGGCAGCCTCGCCTCTTTCAGTACGCCCCAGGGTAGCTGTGGCTACATTGTAGCTCAACACCGTCACAGTGTGAATTTTTGTGTCAATGGATGAATCATACACTTTAGTGTAAAGCGCTTTGGAGTCCTCTGAAGGCACTATACAAGTGTGGGCCATTTATCATTTACTAAGTCTGCTACATGACACCAGTCGCCTAACCCACATATCTTGTGTTGGCCAGAGGTTTCAGACCAGGCTATCTTCCGGGGAGAGGAGCATGGCCTGATGACGAGACTAGTTACAGACGAGTTTAAGAATTTTCAAATTAAAACTCAAAATTTGCAGCCAAAAAAGGAAAATACTAACCTGGCCAACCATGCTAATGCTTCGTTATGGAATGCAAAGGGCCTAGTAATGCTCCCATTCAAATAACCCCACCCCCTGAGAATTCGAATCGAGCCAATCAGCGCTTAGCAGCGTACGTCACACACCACACCAGTTCGTCATGAACAACAAAAAATGGCGTCTGAAGCAGAGTTCAGTGCGGTGCTTTCCACTGTTCTAAGTTACTTGAACATGTCTTAAAACCACAAGAAAAAGAAGCACTAAAAGCCTTTCTTCTAAAATAAGATGTTTGAACTGTCGTCAGACACCATCTTTGACCACAGCTAAAAAACTACAACGTTGCGAGATACAGTCGTCATTTCTGCCCTTTTTTTCTGATAGTTTATTTTATTTTATTTATTTTTTGGAGCTGGCTAATCCTACTCCTCATGGTGCATTCTGCCTCTGAGTATCCAGACCTGTCTGTGTACAACAGACAGAGGGCAAGTCTGGCAGGCCAAGCTAAGAAAATGCATGAATGCAGCCAAAAACTTTTATTTATTTATTTATTTATTTATTTTTGGTCATGAGGAAATAATATCACACGGCAAAAAGCTCATAAAAGTTGATTTTCCATGATCTGGCCCCTTTAGATATGTAACTTACAGCAGACCTCTTAACCTCAGCTCGCCATAGCATGACCATTTCCAAGATTCTTGCTGCATTTGTTGACCTTTCTGATGTCTTTTCTCAGCCAAGGATTTTATCAGCTGTCTGATGGAAAAAGATCCGGCCAAGAGATTCACCTGTGACCAGGCTCTGAGACATCCCTGGTGAGAAACACACATAAAGGCATTAAACCAGTGCTGATGTTGATATGCTGTCAGAAGTGTAATCAGAAGAATTTTTGTGTGTAATTTTTAGGATTGCTGGCGATACAGCTCTCTGCAAGAACATACACGAGTCAGTCAGCCGGCAGATCCGGAAGAACTTTGCCAAGAGCAAATGGAGGGTAACTGCTGTTTATTTGTGCCTCTTTTCTCTGGTATTGGCTTGGCTGCAGCAGACTGAATCATTCTGTCACGCGTTTCTAAAATGTCTGTTTTTAGAAGGTTAATCACTCGGCTTTAAAAGCCCATCTGCCACTTGGTCAGGAATTATGTCTCAGTCATTTATTTTCTCTGAGGTCTTTGCGGGCAAATCCAAACAGTTTCACCTGAATTCACAAAAGTGTCACAAATTTAAACCGGTATTCTCATTAATTTAGATGTTTTTTTATTCATAAAATCAATTATATATTAATGGAAGAATAATGTTTATATCTTTTTTACTTTGTGTTCTCTCTGCAGCAAGCCTTCAATGCCACCGCTGTGGTGCGGCACATGAGGCGGCTGCAGCTTAGCAGCAGTATTGGCAGCAGCATGGATGCCTCTAACCCAAGGTCGACTCAGGCGCAGAGGATGGTCCAAAACCAGAGCCAGACGGGCCAAAACCACACAGCTCCAAGCCAAACCAGCAGCCAGGGGGCGCAAAGCCAGAGCAGCAAAAACCCTGTGGAAAACAACATTTCTGCTCCCCACAAAGAATGTGAGTCAGTGACACAAAAGGTGACGATACGAAGTGGGGGGTGGGGGGTTATACAAGTCCCAGTGTGGTTATTGTTTGATTTTCTGTACAGCACTTTGAGCTGCCTTTGGTATGAAAAGTGCTTTATGAATAAAATTTGATTGATTGATGTGATAGTACTGCAAAAAGCTTTAGTGCGCAGCCATACTCCATCGGGCCACATCACAAGCAATGGATCTGTCTGGCATTCATTCAGAATCTGGGCATTCCCAGTACATCCTGAAACTTGAGTTCTCCAGTTTTATTCTTGGTTGTTTTCCTTTTGTCCAACAAGAGCGTTGGCAGCGGCTCGGGCTATCATCGCTTTGTTTGTCTGCTTTGGGCATGTGAAAGCACTTTATAAATGAAGTTGATTTGATATCATCGTTCTGCGGTTAGCATTACCGAGATCAATGTTTATATATTGCTGACGCTAAAGTGGGTTGGGACATGCAGTTGTAAGGAGGGGTGTCTATGCTTATGACGTGCTAAACCAGCTTTTCTCAGAGCAAACCGTCTCCTACATTACTAATTTACAAAGGAAAGCAGGTCAGAGACAGCACCGACTGTTAGCTATGCTACATTAGACACCCCGGGCTTCCTAGGTAAGGTAAATGTGGCTTTAAATTCTAGGACCACTTTAACATTGTTAGCTTTTATAAATCCAGCTTGCTTTATATTCACAGGTGTCCCGGCACCCGTCACTCCCTGCAGTCTGGCTTCCACAGCATCGTCTCCTGCCGCTGGAACAGAACTGAACCGGCCCCACCCTTCAGCGGTGCCCGCCCCTATGATGACTGAGACCAAGTGACGCCAGGTCACGCGGGGCACCAGCTGGGAGGCCACGGCGCTATGAGAACCGCCCGAGAGGAGCATGAGGATGGTATTCCTCTTTACCCCTCCCCCTCTCTCACCCCTCTACTGGTACCCTGCCTTGCTCCAAGGAGAGCAGAGGACTTCACCCCACCGCCCCACTTCAGAGGACAGCGTGTAGGACGATCTGCCTGTGGTTCTGCTGCAAACGATGGCATCTTATTATTCAGCATCGGTCAACTTTCCTCCTGAATCCGGTCTTTCCTGCAACACTTTATTCAGAGTTTTCCCTCTTAGTTTTGACTGTTGACAACTAGTTTTTTTTTTATTGTTTTATTTGAAAAGCGGAATGTGTAGAAGACATCCCCGCTTTATTATAGCTACTGTAAATAAGCCATAGCCAAGAGAGCGGCGTCAGTTCATCGCAGTTGGCTTCTTGTTCCGCTGTTAACATTTCTCCAAATTTGGGCCCATCTCCCATAATTCCTTTGGGTCACTTTGTCATCCTTCTGAGTGTTGATGACTATCAACTCTCCTCTGTGTAACGACTACACTTGTTTACACAAATTCTAACTAAATTAACCATAAATTTGCATCACTTTATTTTTACAGAACATCTTTATCACCTGTGTCTGTGTTCGTCCGTTCGTGCTTAAAGAAGTGCTTTAAAAGTACCATATGACTGTTGATGTGTGGAAACATGAGTCAGCGCTTTATCTTTTTTGCACAGAGGTTCAGATGTGTGGTCTAAGACTAACGAGCTGCCATGTGTTTATCAGAAAGAGAGCAGATTGTAAACCTATACAAACTATGGATGTCAGAGCATTGGAAAGCCTGTTAAATGTATACAAAAATATCTTTATTTTCTTACTTTTTAAAACTTTTGTAACAATCTCCCTTTAAGGGATGCTCCTACAGGTTACTATGAAACATTCAGCATGTGGATGAGGCCAGTATCTGGGCTGTAAATGGTGGTGACAAATTTCAAACGACATTCTCAAAAGAATCTCCAAGAAATCCTTAAATCGTAAGAGTTTCTTATGTTGTTGTTTGAATTAAAAGTTTGGGTGACAAATTTACTCTTACAATAGTCAGGTGTAATGGGCATCTTTAACCTTCCTAGACAGCTTTTATTTTGTTTGAGAGGCAAAAAGTGGAGAAAATGTTAAACAAAATGAATTTCACTCAAACCGAGACAGTTTGACTGAACAAATAAAATGGTTAGCATCACTTCAGCAGTTTCTCTACAGTTATGCGTTCTGTGATCCAGACAGATGTATAAAACCTCTCACAAGGGTGTCGTACTGATTCAGTGGGAAAGGGTTTCAACTGATAATTTTCACCATTTATAACGATTTTGTCTCCAACCAGCCATCAGCATGGAGATACTGGCCTAAGAACAGATGCGTGACTGTGTTTACTGGGAAGCGACTTCCAGACAACAACAGTAGTCTGGCTTCCTTCACACTGGATTAAGATCTTGTCATCTATGAGAAAGTGGCTGGATTGTAGCGATTTTGGAGATTGAGAATGCACCCGAGACGTCACTATGATCGACGTACAAGACGATATGTTTTTTTTTCCTCCTACTTTTTTTACAATTCCACAACTAAATATGCCCCCATATTAGCATCGGGCATCTGTCTGATCAGATACCCAACAGAGTGGTGCCTGTAACAAGTTCCAGCCACATGGATCTATTTAAAATAGAAACAAGTACATTTGCTTATATTCTGTATTGGCAAGTACTCAAATATGATCTACCAGTCCAATGTTGAGGATCAATTGAAAATGTTATTGATTTTCGTGGAAACATTTGAAATGAGTCTGATTAGAATTTAAAGCAAGTATACATGACACACGTGGACACGGTCAGAGGTGGAAATTGCAGCTACAATGGCAAATTTGCAAAACCAATTGGCTTAAAACATTGTTTTCATGCCTCATAAAAGTTCTAATATTTAGCTGTTAATATATTGTGGAGATTAAAAAACACGAAAAAAAAGATTAAAGTGGTTTTCTCGCATTTTTCTAAAAACCTCCACCATTAATGTTTCATACCAAAGTCAACCATCTGGTTGTTGGTCTCACCGAGCTGCCGCACTTCCCTGGGTCCTCCATTTATTAGGTACTTGCATATTTAGCAACAGAACACTCAATATCAGAAAAGGAGAAACAGCTGGCTGCTACCACTTTAACTAGTCCCAAAAAGGAAAACGCCATTTGAAGTCACGGACAACAAGACGTTAGGACCTAAAAAAACGACAACTGGTGTTTAGCACCATCTCGTTTCCTCTGGCAACACGGGTTTTCAGTTCCAGCAGAAGCATCTCAGAAGATTCCGAGGGTCAGGACGAGTATTCGGTGACCATGTTTGCGTTCAAAACCTAGCTTGTTCTGTAGATTTGTTACAAGCTATAACAAATCTATAGAACAAGCTAACCCTAGCTTATAAGTTATAATTTATAAATTAGCCTTTAGGTACGAGGCCAGATTCAGGTCCTGAGTCCTGCTTGACTTGTTTATCAAAGAAATCTTTCCATCATAATAAACTGTACTCAAGTTTTGTTGAAAGCTCCAAAACTGTCCCACTCTTGTCAAGTGTAACTTGGAGTAAACTGTGCCCTTAATACATTTATGAAGACCTTGCCTAGACCCTACAAAAGATAATCATTGTCTAGTGAAGTTTTTGTCTAAATCCAGTGTGAAGGGGCCTTAGTACAAATAAAATTCCTTTTGACTTCCCTATGGATACTACATACGAGTAGATGGTGGTCTATATAATGTTTGAAACCATTTCAGAGGTCAGTAAGACACTAATGCCTGCCATTCCTTCCCCTCACCCGTAATGAAGCCATGATCTCACCTTCTCGTTCTGTTAAGCTGCACCCAGTCCAGAAGTCCTCAGGGAAATCTGCAGCTGCACTGTGAGCTGGCAAGCACCAGTTTCCTGTTTCTACTTTTGTGTTTCCATCATGGTCCAAGCAAGAGGAGCCAAGTTCTTAATAGTTAAATGGTTTAAAATATTCATCATTTTTATTTATTTTGGTGTTTTTTACAGTTTTAAAAGTCAAATGGGTGATTTTAGTGTTTGAGCTTGAGCCTCTAAACATTGTTTTATTTATTGTGCACCTCCTTTAAGCATGAGCTGTGGTGGTGTTGGCCTTTTAGACATAACTCAGATCACTTCACTGCCTGGTGCTCGTTCACGCACAAAGCAGATTGTCGTGTCTTTATTATTCGATGCAAGCTTTCTAAACCCTTTATTGTGATTTTCAGCCAAAGATTCATGCGTGTAGATAATTTGGCTGATTTAAAAGTGGTCAGTGAGTTGGAAAATAACCTGCTTCAGATGTGAAGTTAAATCTAAGGGCTGAACACCAGCTGCAAACTCATCTGGAGAGAGGTTTTGACCTTTTATTCTCTCTGTCGCCGTTACATTTTTTATTATCCACATGGTCGTGCTGCTACAAAGAGACAAAAAAAACTGCTAAAAAATGTCTGCGAATAATTCACCATGCTTGCTTTGACCTGTCTCGGTGACAGGTGGGTGCAGGAGCACATCTGGATGAAAGTCACATGACGGGAAACCAACTGTGTGTGAGAACTCGCCCTGACCTCCACTAGAAGTGACCACATCTGAAAAGCTCTCTTTAATTGCAGTTAGAATCACAAAAATCTGCATTTTTCTACAAAATAATCCTCACAAACAAATGCAGCTTTTTGGTTTTCTGCCTAAAGCTTTATCCGCTTCACCCTTTTATAGAAAGAAAAAGGTGAAATATTCTGAAGATTTATATAATTGTGAATGGATCCCATTACATTATTAGCCTCTCAGAAAGATCATGTATCTTTAATGCATCAGTATCAAATTCTTATTTCATCCTCTAAACAGATTTAGCAGGAAATTCGCTTAAATAGTATTTTTTACTCTAGCTTCTGATACGCATTAACATTTACTTTGATATATGCGTTGTTGTTTTAGATCATTTTTTCTAGAATGACTTTTTATTGGTTTGATATTTTTCTGTGGGGTTAGCAAAAATCTACCAACTGAAATGTTTAAATTCAAGCTTATGCATTTCCATAAGACATGTTGCTTTAAGCATCAGTCACCCTTCACCTGACCCAAAAATGACATTAAAATGTGTCTGGGTCAGGGTTTGAAAAGGGTTTTTGGAACTTTAAATGTTTTGTTTAAACCCCAGCTGTAAGGGGAGTAACTTCTGTTTACAGAAACTACAATGCAAGCATCGTTCTAGAAAAAGTTTTGTTCTTTTCAGGTTTTGCTGCTGTAACACCCTGATTTAATCCTGCTAGTGGCGAAGCCCAAAGTTATTGGTCCCACTGTCCTTTAACGGTCAGGTCTCCTGTACCTACAGCCAAAAGTTCAGAGAATGACCCAAATGTTTCTGCACGAGTGTTTTTAGGTATGTTTTCAGATGTTGCTATGGTTACAGGGGTAAAACTATAAGAGCGTATATCTGTAGAGTTGATCCTTTACCCCCCAGATGTCTCCAGCTCAGCCTGACATCCCATCAGTCAGTTACTGGTCCAGTTCCTGACCTGGTTAATCTGGGCTTAGTTTGTCTGAATTTATAGATTTTTGTTTTCCCGCCTGCTTCTTTAGGACTGATCACGCATTGTCAACATGTATTAAGGTCTGGGGAGTTTCCTGGACCTAATTTGCTTGTTTGTTCCTTGAGCCATTTAGTTCTGACTGTAGCATCATTGCTCAGCGCTCCAGGCTCTTGTTGGATGCTTGGGAGAAGTACCTCTTTGGTTGGCTTGTCCAAGTTGTGGCGCTGGTGGCTCTGTGGGATTCTGTTTGGCCCTCAGCTGCATTTCAAGAATGGTGGAATTCTGTCAACAATGGATGTTGAACATATTTATGTTCAGATTTGTAATAACACACAAAAAAGTTGAAATTATTGAAGGTCTAGTCCAGTGCCAGGTATTAAAGGTTGAATATGGAACAACTTAATAAAAAGCCACATTAAAAAGAAAAATACCTTCAGGGGGCATTTGGAGGTGTGCAGAATGAAGGTACAGTTTTACCTTTAAAAGCTATATTTTAATGAAAAAATAATCAAATTTTTATTTTGACAGGCACGACACTGGGTTTGTGTTCCAGCCAATCTACTAGCCAATAGAGGGCACCATT